TCCTTCCTTCCTTCCTTCCTTCCTTCCTTCCTTCCTTCCTTCCTCCCTTCTCCAGCTTTGAGGGGCCTATGTCGCCATGTCTCTTTCCTCCCTTTCTCCCTTCTACTCTTACATAAGTCACCTTCCTTCCTTTCTTTCTCCCTGACATCACAGAGGGCCACTCAACCTGGCAACAGCCACCCTTCCTTCCTTCCTTCCTTCCTTCCTTCCTTCCTTCCTTCCTTCTTTCCTTCCTTCCTATCTTCTTCCTTCCTTCTTTCCTCCCTTCTCCAGCCCTGAAGGACCTATCTCGCCATGTTTCTTTCCTTCCTTTCTCCCTCCTACTCTTACACAAGACACCTTCCTTCCTTTTTTCCTCCTTACATCACAGAGGGCCACTCAACCTGGCAACAGCCACCCTTCCTTCCTTCCTTCCTTCCTCCCTTCTCCAGCTCTGAGGGGCCTATCTCACCATGTCTCTTTTGTTCCTTTCTCCCTTCTACTCTTACACAAGTCACCTTCCTTCCTTTCTTTCCTCCTGACATCACAGAGGGACACTCAACCTGGCAACAGCCACCCTTCCTTCCTCCCTTCTCCAGCTCTGAGGGGCCTATCTCGCCATGTCGCTTTCCTCCCTTTCTCCCTTCTACTCTTACACAAGTCACCTTCCTTCCTTTTTTCCTCCTGACATCACAGAGGGACACTCAACCTGGCAACAGCCAACCCAGTGACGTCGGAGAGCCACTTCACCTAGATAGATAGATAGATAGATAGATAGATAGATAGATAGATAGATAGATAGGGATAACTTCTGGTTAAGGTGCACTGGAGGAAGAAGGAGTCATTCAGGCCCCAGCCCTAGAGGCTCTAACGCTCTGGCATCACAACTTTAGGGCTGGATGAGAGAGGCTGGCTAGGCCTCTCTTGGTCTCCATGGCAACCAAAGCGAGGGTGGGAGGCCAAAGGCCTGAGGGGCGGGGAGAGGCTGGCTCCGTTGCCTAGCGACACCCCACCTGCTGGGCCCGCGGCCCTCCGGCGACGGAACTCCGGAAACATCCGCTTCCCCGGCCTCGGCCTTGCCCCGCCACCGCCGCGGCCTTTGAAAGCCTCCGCCGCCTCCCAGGCCCCGCCCCTCCCTTCCCAAGCCCCGCCCCCCACGCCTCATTGGCCGGTTTGTGTTAGGGGCGTGGACTTAGGAGGAAGTGCTTACAACAGCCCTTTGATTGGGTTGCTGTGAGTTTTGTGGGCTGCCTGGCCATGCTCCAGAAGCATTCTCTCCTGACATTTCGCCCACATCTATGGCAGGCATCCTCAGAGGTTGTGAGGTCTGCTGGAAACAAGGAAAACTGGGTTTATATATCAGTGGAATAATGTCCAGGGTGGGAAAAGGAACGCTTAGCCTACTTGATTCACATTGAATGGCCTTGCAGCTTCAAAACCTGGCTGGTTGCTGCCTGGGAGAATCCTTTGTTGTGAGAAGTGCTAGCTGGCCCTAATTGACTCTTGTATGAAATCCCCCCCTTTTTTTAGTGTTTATATATCTGTGGAATAATGTCCAGGGTGGGAGAAAGAACTCTTGTCTGCTTGAGGCAAGTGTGAATGTTGCAATTGACCACCTTGATTAGCATTAAATGGCCTTGCAGATTCAAAGCCTGGCTGTTTCCTGCCTGGGGGAATCCTTTGTTGGAAGGTGATTAGCTGGCCCTGATTGCTTCTTGTCTGGAATTTCCCTGTTTTTTTAGTATTGATCTGTGGAATAATGTCTAATGTGGGAGAAAGAACTCTTGTCTGCTTGAGACAAGCGTGAATGTTGCAATTGACCACCTTGATTAGCATTGAATGGCCTTGCAGCTTCAAAGCCTGGCTGTTTCCTGCCTGGGGGAATCCTTTGTTGTGAGAAGTGCTAGTTGGCCCTGATTTACTCTTGTATGGAATTCCCTTTTTTTTAGTGTTTATATATCTGTGGAATAATGTCCAGGTTGGGAGAAATAACTCTTGTCTGCTTGAGACAAGCGTGAATGTTGCAATTGACCACCTTGATTAGCATTAAATGGCCTTGCAGCTTCAAAGCCTGGCTGATTGCTGCCTGGGGAGCAAGTGGGAGTGTTGCAACTGGCCAGCAAGGAACATGAAAGGCATTACAGACTAATTCTATTTATAGTCAGAATCTTATTTTCCTGGTTCTTCTTTCAGGAAATCAGCTCTTTTCTTAATAGCTTTCAGAATAAAACTCGTGTTCTATTTTGAAATGGTCATATGACTGATCAAATAAATAATAATAATAATAATAATAATAATTATTATTATTATTACAGACTAATTCAACCAGAAAAGTCAGCCATAGCAGGGCACTTGGTGAACCAACCTGGACACAGCATATTATTTGAGAACACAGAAATGCTGGATCACTCTCACAACCACCCTATCAAGTTACATAGAGAACCCATTGAAATCCACAATCATGTGGACAATTTCAACAGAAAGGAGGACACCATGAAAATGAACAATATCTGGCTAGCCATATTTAAAAAAACTCTAAAATCAGGACGTAAATAAAGAACAACACTCAAAAAACAGAGGAATTCCAGACAATAAACAATCAGGGCCAGCTAACACCTCCCAACAAAGATTCCCTCCCAGGCAGGAAGCAGCCAGGCTTTGAAGCTGCAAGGCCATTAAATGCTAATCAAGCTGACCAATTGCAACATTCACACTTGCTTCCAACGGACAAGAGTTTTTTCCCCCACCCTGGACCTTTCTCCCACCGACATATAAACCACCCTTGCCTAGTTTCCAGCAGGCCTCACAACTTGTCAGGATGCCTGCTATAGATGTGGGTGAAACATCAGAAGAGTATGCTACATGGCCACACAACCTGGAAAACTCACAGCAACGCTTTTCATTGTGATCTGCTCTAAATCTCCATGTGGAGAGAAAAAGTGGGATATAAATAAATATGTCTATAAAAGAGACCGATCAAAACATATTTCTATAAAATACATATTAAAAATACACATAAAATCCTGGGAGTTGTAGTTTAGCACAAGAGGAGGCTGAAGGTCTTATGAAACAACAACTCCCAGGATTCCATAGCACTGAGCCATGGCAGTTCAAGTGCACTCATTCTGCAGCATAGATGTGCCCCAAACTAACTTTGACAAGCATTGTCTCAACCTCCATTTAATTTTTTTTGTCCAGTGCACCATTTTGAACAGCTTAATTTGTCACTGTGTTCTATTATTATTATTATTATTATTATTATTATTATTATTATTAAACACAACAAGATGAGTCCACAGCCAACAAGATCACTCTGTTGTATTGGATCACACATCGGACACTTCCCAAGTGTTTAGGACTGTGTGATGTATCGGCAAATAATGCGTGCAGATCCGAGTAGGGTGGCCTTTTGCAGCTGACAGATGATAATTTTGTCAGTGCAGATTGTGTTTAAGTGCAGGCCCAGGTCTTTTGACACTGCACCCAGTGTGCCGATCACCACTGGAACCACCTTGACTGGCTTGTGCCAGAGACTTTGCAGTTCTATCTTTAAATCCTCACATCATGTCAGTTTTTCCAGTTGCTTCTTGTCAATTCTGCTGTCACCTGGGATTGCAACATCAATGATCCATACTTTGTTTTTTAACATGATTGTGAGGTCAGGAGTATTGTGCTCCAAAATGTCAAGGACTCCCTTCTCCATAGGCTGCTGTTCCCTGTCACAGGTGCTAAGCCAGGTAAAAAGCAGATGTCGCAAGAGATGGCAATGCTTTTCATAAAGCTTTATTATTATTATTACTATTTGAAACACAACAAGATGAGTACACAGTAAACAAGAGCACTATGCTGGCTTATGTATTTGATCACACGTTGGACACTTCTCAAGTGTCTAGGACTGTGTGATGTATCGGCAGATAATATGAGCAGATCCCAGTAAGGTGGATTTTTGTAGCTGGCAGATGGTAATTTTGTCAGCACCGATTGTGTTTAAGTGCAGGCCAAGGTTATTATTATTATTATTATTATTATTATTATTATTATTATTATTATTATTTGAAACACAACAAGATGAGTCCACAGCAGACACTTTGCTGGCTGTTGTATTGGATCACACATCGAACACTTCCCAAGACTGTGTGATGTATCGGCAAATAATGCGTGCAGATCCCAGTAAGGTTGCCTTCTGCAGCTGGCAGATGGTAATCTTGTCAGCGCCGATTGTGTTTAAGTGCAGGCCAAAGTCTTGAGGCACTGCACCTAGTGTGCCAATCACCACTGGAACCACCTTGACTGGCTTGTGCCAGAGTCTTTGCAGTTCAATTTTTAAATCCTCGTATCGTGTCAGCTTTTCCTGTTGTTTCTCTTCAATCCTGCTGTCACCTGGGATTGCAACATTGACAATTCATACTTTGTTTTTTAACACGATTGTGAGGTCAGGAGTATTATGCTCCAAAACTCTGTCTGTCTGAATCCGCAAGTCCCAGAGGAGTTTGGCGTGTTCATTCTCTGTAACTTTTTCCGGCTTGTGATCCCACCACTTCTTTGTCGTAGGCAGATGGTATTTGTGGCACAGGTTCCAATGAATCATCTGAGCAACAGTGTTGTGCCTCTGCTTGTGGTCTGTCTGTGCGATCTTCTTGCAGCAGCTGAGGATGGGATCTATTGTTTCATCTGCTTCCTTGCAGAGTCTACATTTGGGATCTGTCGTCAACTTTTCCATTCTGGCTTTGATGGCATTGGTTCAAATGGCTTGTTCTTGGGCTGCCAGAATCAGGCCCTCCTTTGTCTCCTTTTTCAAAGTTCCATTTGTGAGCCACAGCCATGTTTTTTCTTTGTCGATTTGGCTCTCAATTTTTCCCAGGAACTGCCCATGGAGAGCCTTCTTTTGCCAGTTTTCTCTTCTGCTCTGCATTGTGTTCTTACGGTATTCCCTCTTTGTCTTTTGCACTTGAAGCAGTTTACTCCTCTTGACTTCCCTCAATGTTGGTTCTTGACTGCCTTTCACATCATCTGCCAGTGCATGTTTCTCTTCTTCTACCGTTTGTTTCACTTGCAGAGGCCCTCTGCCTCCTGATTTTCTGGGCAGGTAAAGTCTGTCGACATTACTACGCAGGTGTATTATTATTATTATTATTATTATTATTATTATTATTTTACTGACACAAAATCACAGTATGTCACAGCAAACGAGATCTATATGCTGGATTATTATTATTATTATTATTATTATTATTATTAATACCCTGCTTTATCTCCCCTGAAGGGAACTCAAGAGTGACTTAACATAAACGCCTCACAAATACGCAGGTATAAACACTAGTATTTCTTTTTAATCAAGAGGAACATAATTATTTCCAGCATATTCAGTAAACCATCTGGAGGCCGATGCAAGGCAAAGCATCTGCAGGCATAAACATTAATATGCAGGTATAAACATTATTATTTTAAAAATCAATGGGAACATAATAACATAATTATTTCCTGCATATTCCATAAACCATCTGGAGGCCAATACCCATACAAAGCAAAGTACCATTTCTTGGAGCGCAGCGTGTGAGCTTCCGGAAATGCGCCTCCTCTCCACTCCCAGGTTGTCTGGAAACTGGAGGGAGGGACGATGTCCAACCAGCATCGGGTCTAGGAAGTTATAAAGGGCTGAAGGAGACAAAAGGTGCCAGTTCAGTTGTTGGGTTCCTTGGGAAAAGGGGGGAGAAGCCATTTGGAGCAACACCTTCTTGGTTTTGTGGTTGCCCATACAAGCAAAGTGACCTACAATGGTTCTCCTGGTGACCACTTCTCAAATGCTGTGATTAAAAAAGACCATGGGGGATATCATCTTTGGAATCATCCTGGCCATCCTCTCGTCGCTCATCATGGCCGTGAATGTTTTCGTGGTGGTGGCCTTAGTCCAGCTGATCTGGAAGACCCGGAGCCTTGGGTTCTGCTTCATCCTCAACCTTGCTGTCGCCGACTCCTTGGTGGGCTTCACCATCACGGGCCTCGTCACCGAAGAGCTCTCCGACTCCCAGCACAAGACCCCGCAAAACTACTGCGTGCTGCGCATGGCCTGCGTCACCTGCCCCTCGGCCGCCTCCATCATCACAGTCATTTTGGTCACCTTCGACAGGTACCTGACCGTCAAGCACCCCTTCCAGTACTTCAGAATCATGTGTGGCTACGTCGTGGGGGGTTGCCTTGCAGGGCTTTGGCTCCTGGCTTGCTTCATTGGCTTCCTCCCTCTGATTGCTCACAGCCTCCAGAAAAAGAACTACGAGGGACTGTGTACTTTCTTCAGCGTCTTCCAGCCCACGTACATGCTCACCATCTTTTGCGTGGTTTTCTTCCCAGCCTTCTTTATTTTCATCTACTTCCATTACGACCTGCTGAAGATTGCCTCTCTGCATGCCCAGCAGATCCGAGAGCTGGAACCCACCGGCTTGACAGAAACGTGCCCAGGTTCTCCGCCCTCTAATATCACCAAAGCGTTGCGCACTGTGGCCATCCTAGTGGGGTGCTTTGGGGTCCTGTGGTCACCCTTCTTCATTGGGAGCATTGTGAAGATTGCATGTGAGCGGTGCAACCTGGACCACATCCTTGAACGGTACCTCTGGGTGATGGGTGTGTGCAACTCTCTGGTGAACCCACTGATCTATGCCTACAGGCAAAAGGAGGTGCGCCTGCAGATCTGCCAGATGTGTCTGTGCATGAAGATCAAGGTCTTCCCCCTGTTTCATGGACACAGCCAAAACCATGCTCCCAGCAGGGCCAGACCTTCGGTGCACATCATCTCACTGGCCCACCTGGAAGGATGACATGGTAAGAGGGCTGGGATGACCATGGCTTTGGGAAGCAAGTGCCCCACTGATGTCCATCAAATCCTCCACCTCTGTGGAATTAATTGATACACACCATATAGTCTGAAGGGAACTTTATACAATACATGGGGGTAGAAGGGTAAACGGTGGGACAGGGAGAATGAATGAGAAATGGAGTCACAGGGTGCATCTCTACCAGGCATGGGCAAACTTTGGCCCTCCAGGTGTTTTGGACTTCTGCTCCCACAATTCCTAACAGCCAGTAAGCTGGCTGGGATTTCTGGGAATTGAAGTCTACAATATCTGGAGGGCCAAAGTTTGCTTATGCCTGATCTCCAATAATAATAATAATAATAATAATAATAATAATAATAATAATAATAATAATAATACAGAATTAATACAGTTTGATACTACTTTGATACCACCTGGTGGCACAGCAGGTTAAACCACTGAGCTGGTGAACTTGCTGATTGAAAGGATGGCAGTTCGAATTCGGGGAGCAGGGTGAGCTCCCGCTGTTAACACCTGGCTTCTGCCAACCTATTTATTATTTATTTATTTACAGCTTTTATATTCTGCCCTTCTCACCCCGCAGGGGACTCAGGGCGGATTACAGTGTACACATATATGGCAAACATTTAATGCCAATTTTTGACATACAAACATATACAGACATAGACAGAGGCTATTTAACCTTTTCTGGCAGCCAGGGGAGCTGTCGCTTTCATCATCCATCTGTGACGCTGATGAAGCACTTCCACATTCCCGCATTCCTGCATGCTTCCCCGCTGGAATGCTCTGCTGGAGTCTTTTTATGGCCTCATAAATCAGTTAATTTAGCCTCCCCACACTTTAAGGTGGTACCTTATTTTCCTACTTGACAGATGCAACTGTCTTTCGGGTTGCGAAGGTCGACAACAAGGCTGCACACAATTGGTTGGAAACCCACTCCAACTCGGGCTGGCTTCGAACTCATGACCTTTTTGGTCAGAGTGATCTTAATGCAGTTGACACTCAGCCAGCTGCGCCGCAACCCCGGTGGCACACCTAGCAGTAGGAAAACATGCAAATATGAGTAGATTTGGTGGGAAGGTAACGGCGCCCCATGCAGTCATGCTGGCCACATGACCTTGGAGATGTCTACGGACTCCGGCTCTTTGGCTTAGAAATGGAGATGAGCACCACCCCGCATAACTGGACACGACTGGACTTCATGTCAGGGGAAACTTTTAGCTTTACGTTAGTGCATATCAGGCCCATCTACCCTGACCGTATAATTCATTATCTGTTTTGAGAAATCTAATACAGAAACATAAGGCAAGCTGCAGAGGACACATCTCTTCCCTTCCCTTCGTGTTGTCGGTTCCCAACACCTGATACCTGAAGCAATCTCGCTGACTTACAGTGGGGCCATCCCTATTATATGTATATGTATACATTGGGGTATGCACAGCCATTTGGATTGTCTTCCAAGAGCCTGCATATTGTCATTTACACATGCATGTTAGCAGTGGAAAAAATGAGCCATGCAAATAAACAGAACCCTGACCAGGCCCAAAGGTGAACCGACAAAGGATGGGAACAAAGCCCGGCTTGTGAGCAGCGATGTGTGAGGTTTTCCCTTTCAGCCCCTGCTTGTTCATAAAAGAGAGAGGAAGCCAAACAAATCAATTCTTCCTCTCTGACGCAAGTGCCAACTCTGTGAGATAAAGAGGCCATAGGACAAGCCTCTGCTCGCTTCCCAACAACCCCTCATTTCCTGTCTGCCCTGAGACAAATGTACCAAGCACCAAATAGCTGGGGAAGGTGATATGTGACTACAGCCTAATCAGTATCAATTACACCACATATAAACCTTCCAGATAAATAAGCTATCTGTAAATCGACCGGTAATTGTGTGATTATAGGAAAAGCAGTCCAACCTCTAGGAACAACTATAGATTTGCTGTGAGTTTTCCAGGTTGTATGGCCATATTCCAGAAGCACTCTCCCCTGATGTTTCGCCCACATCTATGGTAGGCATTCTCAGAGGTTGAGGTCTGTTGGAAACTAGGCAAGTGAAGTTTATATATCTGTGGAATAATGTCCAGGATGGGAGAAATAAGTCTTGTCTGCTTATGCAAGTGTGAATGTTGCAATTACCTAGATTAGCATTGAAGGGCTTTGCAACTTCAAAGCCTGGCTGGTTGCTGCCTGGGGGATCCTTTATTAGGAGGTGTTAGCTAGCCCCGATTGATTCTTGTCTGGAATTCCTCTGCTTTTTGAGTGTTTCTCTTTATTTACTATCCTGATTTTAGAGATTTTTAAGTACTGGTAGCCAGATTTTGTTCATTTTCATGGTTTCATCCTTTCCGTTGAAATTGTCTACATGCTTGTGGATTTCAGTGGCTTCTCCGTGTAGTCTGATATGGTATCAGGACAGTAAATAAAGAACAACACTAAAAAAAGCAGGGGAATTCCAGACATTGAACAATCAGGTAGCCAGCTAACACCTCCCAACAAAGGATTCTCTTAGGCAGCAACTAGCCAGGTTTAGTGACTAAGGGGGAAAAAGAAGGAGCCTGAGGCTGTTAGGAATTGTGGGAGTTGAAGTCCAAAACACCTAGAGGGCCCAAGTTGGCCCATGACTGCTCTAATCTGATCACCAGCTGCTTGCACACTGAAATCTGACAGCTTCCTTTGTTCCAGCTCCAGTCGGATTGGATTCCTCACTCCTCACAACAGATGACTTCTTGAAGATCTATAGCAGACCTTCAGTTTCACGTTGCTTCTACGGAGAAAGAACATCATTTCTGGAAGACAGATAAATGGCATAATGCCTTTTGAAATTATATCCAGAAGATGAGCCAGCAAAAAACCTCCAAAAACAAACAAACAAAAACAAACAAAACCCCCAAATGATAAAATATTGTCATAACCTTTAAGCACAATGTTCGAATGGCAGTATGAGGGAAATGTGGATCAAAGAGACAAAGTCCTTGTGGGAAATTAAATGAGGTGCTATTTAACTCCAGTCACTGGTCAGAAATCTCAAAGACTTCAATGTTGGGTTTGAAAAGATAAGGCGACTTTTTCATATTTGGGGGAAATATTTTAAAAATGAAATTATTGATGTCAGATTTGTGTCGCTTTCAAAACATTTCAGAGATTGTTGTTAATTCGTTCAGTCGCTTCTGAGTCTTCATGACTTCATGGACCATTCCAGGTCAGAGGTCCCTCTCAGCTGTGGCCACCCCCAGCTCCTTCAAGGTCAAGCCAGTCACTTCAAGGATGCCATCTATCCATCTTGCCCTTGTTCGATCCCTCTACCTTTTTCCTTCCATTTTTCCCAGCATAATTGTCTTCCCTAAGCTTTCCTTTCTTCTCATGATGTGGCCAAAGGGCTTCATCTTTGCCTCTAATATCCTTCCCTCCAATGAGCAGTCAGGCTTTATTTCCTGAAGTATGGACTGGTTGCATCTTCTCACAGTCCAAGGCACTCTTAGAACTTTCCTCCAACACCACAGCTCAAAAGCATCTCTCTTCCTTTGCTCAGCGTTCCTTCTGGTCCAGTTCTCACATCCACAGGTTACTATAGGGCAGTGGTTCTCAACCTGGGGTCCCCAGATGTTTTTGGCCTTCAACTCCCAGAAATCCTAACAGCTGGTAAACTAGCTGGAATTTCTGGAAGTTATAGGCCAAAAACATCTGGGGACCCTAGGTTGAGAACCACTCCTATAGGGAATACCATTGCTTTAACTATGCGGACCTTTGTTGCCAGTGTGATGTCTCTACTCTTCACTGTCTTATCGAGGTTGGTCCTTGCTCTCCTCCCAAGAAGGAAACATCTTCTCATTTCCTGGCTGCAGTCTGCGTCTGCAATAATCTTTGCACCTAGAAATACAAAGTCTGTCACTGCCTCCACATTTTCTCCCTCAATTTTCCAGTTATCCATCAGTCTGCTTGCCATCATCTTGTTTTTTTTTAATGTTTAACTGCAACCCAGCTTTCGCCCTTTCTTCTTCCACCTTGGTTAGAAGCTCTTCCTCGCTTTCGGCCATCAAAGTGGTATAAAAGATACAAGTCTGTGATGACACCAGAAATGTTTTGGTTGGGTCTTACAGGCAAAAAAATACATAGCAAATATGGATGACTTCTTAGATATGTGACAGCATATTGTATGGCTGCTCAGACATGGAAACTGAGTGAAGCACCAATGAGGCTTTAACTTGGTTGAGGCTCACAAGATTTGCAAACCTCTGGCCAATGACGAGAAACATGAAATTAGAACATAACCCGCCAACCACTGCCAGAAAAGACATCCGTCCCCGTTTGGTGAGAACACAAAGCAAGGCCCTTCGTGGACTTCCCTCCCCTCCTCAGAGGTTAGAATTACTTCCTTACGCGGGAAAGTAAATATAATGTTGTTCCAACAGGCTTTTATGAAACTGCCTGCAAGGGCTTTTAATTGTCTTTTACTTCATTTTCAATTGTTTAACTGTACTTATCAATATTTGTGTATGTTTTCACTTCTCTGTTTGGATGGGTTTTAACTGCATTTGTTTTAATATTTGGAAGCTGTTTTTAGTCCCATTAATTGGAAAAGATGGTAATATACATGTGTAAATATACGTATACACACGCACACACACGTGTGTGGGTCAAAACGTTTTGCCTCCTGTGTCATTAAAACATTACGAATGAACATATAACAGCAGACGTTGCTACATATCATATCTGAAATATAGGTTGCTTACCTGTAACCGTAGTTTCCCGAGTGGTCACCTGTGAATTCGCACATATGGTAGTTATCTGAAGACATATCTGAACTGTCCTCTACACAAACTACGGTTCAACATAGTCACCATCAATTTGTACACACTTGCACCATCATTTGACCCAGGTATCAAAACCATTTTGGAAAAATTCAAGGTTTTGCTCCGTGACCCATGATTTTAAAGGTGTTTTAATGTCATTCAAGTCATTGAATCTGAAACCACGGAAGTTGTCTTTCAGAAGTACAAACAGGTCAAAGTCAAAAGGGGCCAAATCATAAACATTTTTCAAGCTATGGTGGGTTCCCTTAGGTGCACAACCTTATTTTGCCAGAAATTAAATGACTCTTTTAGCTTCAGATTCATGGTTCTAATCAGTCCATTGAGAAATAAAAGTTAGGGTGATGGAGGCAATTTTTTTACCCACTTTTGTATATGTATAAGCATAGTCATGTATTAGTGCCATTTGCAGAAGCTGCCAGTCCCTGCTAGCAGCTGAAAGCTCACCATTAACTCATGTCACTTTGTCCTAGTCAGAGGAAATGGGCACAGAAGAGATGATGCCAGCCCATCTGAACAGATGGAAAGGGTGCTAGGACTAGTTATCCCATGGTGACAGCAGCACAAATCTCTTGAAAGGATCAAGAAAGGCAAGGCTGCATTCTGGTTTCATGCAGGGCTTTTGTTGGTATGTTGCCACATCACTATAGTACACTCTCTGAACGGTTAATGCATCACTGGTTTCTATCTGCTTTTCCATAATGCAAACGAAGCATACAATGGGCCACAGCAACGCGTGGCAGGGATGGCTAATAAATAATATTTTCACTTTTATTAGGGAGATAGATGGTTTTCTGTGGGTGAGAGGATGCAGACTACTGGATGGCATATCTCCTGTATCAGAAAGTAGAGCTGATGTGGTCGGCCCAATGCAATTTTCTGAATCAGCACCCCAAATAACCAAAGCGAATCTGAAGTGGACCATAAACTGATTCGTAACCCTTTTGGTACTAATGTTGGAGAGTGGTCCCAGGTCAAAAAAAGGCTGGAATCATTGATCCATCCAATAGTAATGAAGACACAGCACTCCAATAAATAGTTTAATAAGGTCACGTGACAATGGAGGGAATGTAGCAGCCTCCTTAAATCCCCCGTTGCCCGAGGCACAGGACAAGGGAAAGGCACAGCCTGCTGCAAAATCCACGCTGCAAGCAGCTGCACCCAGAAGGACTGCTTGAACACAGATCTTCACAGAAGATACAGACTTGGACCCGTACGCTCTCCCCTTCTTTGCCTTGTGGGAAAGCACATGCAAAAGACTCCTGTGCGTTTTTCTCCCCTGCATCCAGGCCACATGCCCAGACTGAGCATTCAGAATGGGGGTGATAGCCACAGTCCGAACAGCCAAGGAGCATGAAGATGCAGAAGAGGAGGAGGAGGAGGAGATGAGCAGGAAGGGCACGTTGGTCACCAGTCCGAAGTGGTCCCTAGAAAGGAAGTCTCTTCAGCTGCTCGTAGGTGATAAAAAACTGTTATTGAGTTAAGGAAAAACGTGCGGGCTGCATTTACCGTTCCATCTTTCCCTACTCCTCTCTTTCTCTCCCACCTCAAAGCACACAGCAGAATGGAAAACAAGTCATGCTCCCCAGTGAGCTGGCATTACAAACACAAGGAGGAATTTAGAAATCTGCTGGTTTTACGAATGAGCTGTGCATTCACTCCTAAAGTAATTCCCCACTCAAAGTAGTCAGACATATTCATCATCACAGCTGTAGGAGCTGAAGGAATGGTGCTTGGTTTTTCAAAAAAGGATGACTTTTTCTTCATTTAGTTTTTTAAAAAGGTAAGACGGTCATCTGGCAGGGATGCTTCAGCTGTGAATTTAGTACACTAGAAGATGGTCGGATTAAAATCATAGAGTTGGAGGAGACCTGGTGGACCATCGAGTCCAACCCCATTCTGCCAAGAATCAGGAAAATTGCATTCAAAGCACTCCCAACAGATGGCCATCCAGCCTCTGCTTGAAAGCCTCCAAAGAAGGAGCCTCCACCACACTCCAGGGCAGAGAGTTCCACTGCTGAACAGCTCTCACAGTCAGGAAGGTCTTCCTAATGTTTAGGTTGGATTTCTTTCCTGTAGTTTGAAGCCATTGTTCCATTGCGTCCTAGTCTCCAGGGCAGCAGAAAACAAGCTTGCTCCCTCCTCCCCGTGACTTCCGTTCACATATTTATACATGGCCCTCATCATGTCTCCTCTCAGCTTTCTCTTCTGCAGGCTAAACATGCCCAGCTCTTTAAGCCGCTTCTCATAGGGTTTGTTCTTGGATTAGATAGCCTTAACTATGATTCTATGACATCTGCATCACTAGACTACATGATCACTTGCACAACTTATGACTTGGGGGTCTACAAAGGATGTTTTACTAAGCAAAAGTGTATATATACAAAGCTTCAATAAGCAACTTAAAAATACATAATTCCTAGAATCCCAATACATAATTCCTAGAATCCCAATACATAATTCCTAGAATCCCAATTTTTGAAGCTGCGCTCATATTGGAGAATGGCATTTCCAATCTATGGCTTTGGACCTTTTAGGAAAGTGACCCATGCTATATCTTAAAGACCGGGATGGGCAACAGCCAGGAGTTGAAGGCTGCATTGGCATACCAGGAGACCTTGGTTGGTCACACTCAATTGCTCACCCCAAATCTGTCTTATTTTGCCTCTTGCTCCCAAAATCCCCATACGTGCCTTGCACTGTGTCATCTCTACACCATTTTAAAAAGGACAGGCCTTTGTCCAGCAGGAAATGACATACTGGGCAAAGTGGGGGAAATTCAACATTTGGGGGCAAAAGAAGGTGAGGAGGCTGGAAGAATGAAAAAGAAAAGCCCCAAGAGCCATATGGAGCACAAGGGCAAGCTCTACTCATTTCTGTTTAACAGATGTAAAACAGTCTAACTACCTCTCTGAAATGTTTTATTTCAAAAACAGACTGGTTAGAAATGCTGGAAGAAAATACACAGTGAATCCTAAATACACAGTGAACAAACAAAGCTGCTTCATGAAAGTCTAGGGCAGTGGCTCTCAACCTGTGGCTCCCCAGGTGTTTTGGCCTACAACTCCCAGAAATCCCAGCCAGTTCACCAGCTATTAGGATTTCTAGGAGTTGAAGGCCAAGACATCTGGGGACCCAAAGGTTGAGAACCACTCCTCTAGAGACATTTTGGTAGAGCTATTTCACAAGCCTTACGCTACCCATGGCTGTAGCTGCCAAGCCTCCCTTGCCCAACATGGCCTTTCACACAGAGAAGGATACAATGATGTTCCAGGGGCCCAGCCTCAACCAATTTGGTAAGAATCCTTTGTACAGTGCAAAGAAACCCTCACTTTTCCATGTCTGGGAAGGAGAGAATTAATTCCGATCGACAGTCATACATAGCAGAGTAGGAGGCAATCATATTTCTCGCAGATCAAGTTTGCAGTCCCTGCCGGTTTTTCAATGTCATACAAACACCCCAATGAGAGGCTTGGGACAGAAAACTACAGAAGACACAGGCTTTGGTGCAAATCCAATTAATTAAAATGGGGCTTGTAAGCACAACAATCTGCTACTAGATTGTTCTTTTATAATAATAGTAATATAATAAACTTTATTTATACCCTGCCACCATCTCCCCAAAGGGGACTCGGGGCGGCTAACATGAGGCCAAGACCGAAAATATAATGCAGCAAAATAAAATACACAACAACAGAAACTTTACCTCAGAACAAAATACGTAAAGTAACAAAATAAAATAAACAGTGCAAAATAACATATTGAAAGTCGAACACAAAGGGCAGGCCAAATGGATGAGATAGGAATAGAAAAAAATGATTTTGGATTTTGCAATCTGGAGAAATCTACTTTACTTCATCTTGTTTCCAGAAAAACTGAAATATTAAAGTACTAGAGGAGATCCATTGAATTAGTCAAAGCATGAGGAGTTGGAATGTAAGGAAAATCCTGCTGATTCAATGGGTCCACTCGAAGATAAACAACAGATTTTAGGCCATTATGGGTTAATTTAGGGTTTTTTCATGTCAGGAGCCACTTGAGAAACTGCAAGTTGCTTATGGTGTGAGAGAATTGGCTGTCTGCAAAGACACTGCCCAGAGGATGCCCGTATAGGTCACCATCCTGTGGAAGGCTTCTCTCATGTCCCCGAATGAGAAGCTGGAGCTGACAAGACGGGAGCTCACCCTGCTCCCTGGTTTTGAACTGCCAATCTTTTGGTCAGCAGTCCTGCCAGCACAAGGGTTTAACCCATTGCGCTACCAGGGGCTCCCATTTAGGTATAAGAAAGGGACTGAGAAAAGCATTTCATACTCACTGCTGGAATATGTTTTAACAGTATGTTTCAGTGAAGTCAAAAAAATACTCCTTACACCCACATTTACCAACACAGGTTATTTTTTCTACAGTTTTACAAACAATTTCAGAAGCATTTTAGGATTTGCCCCACCTCCACTTTGTTTTCTAAACCTTACCTTTACCAGGCCGTCCAGTGTGCCCCTGTAGAGGTCCACACTCCCCACTATGGCCCGTTGATTCATCATACGAGTCCGCACCACATCCACTGGGTTTGATGCAACAGCACCAGCTAGCCCACATGTAAAACTCGATCTATACAGACAAGCACATAAAAGACCACGATGAATGCTATACTCTGGACAAAGTCATTTAGCATTGTGCATTTCTCAAATTATTCCCCATATTGCTTCTGGAAACTGACCCAAGATAATTTCCACACAGGAGCAGAAGCATGTGCAGGGAACCAAAGACTTCAGATGAACTCAGTCATTACTCACAGTCACCACCAACCACTTCTAAGTCTTTAGGGCAGGGGCCCTCCAACTTTTTGAACAGAGGGCCAGGTCACAGTCCTTCAAACTGCTGGAGGGCCGGATTATAATTTGAAAAAGCATGAGTGAATTCCTATGCACACTGTACATATCTTATTTGTAGTGCAAAATACACTTAAAACAATACAATAATTAAAATGAAGAACAAGTTTAACAAATATAAACTTATTAGTATTTCAATAGGAAGTGTGGACCTGCTTTTGACTGATGAGATAGGATTGTTGTTGTTGTGTGCTTTCAAGTCGTTTCAGACTTAGGTTGACCCTGAGCAATGGCTGGGTAAATGACCTTGGAGGGCTGTATCTGGCCCTCGGGCCTTAATTTGAGGACTCCTGCTTTAGGGCATGCAAGCCAAACTCAAAATGCTTCTGGAACATAGCCATACAGCCCAGAAAACTCACAGCAACTCAGTGATTCTGGCCATGAAAGCCTTCGACAACCCAAAGATAAGCTGCTAAGCATTACAGTGCTGGCAGACACTTACATAAAATGAGTGAGAATTGTGTCCCCCACAAGTCCTGAAAGGATTAAGTGCTTCTTAGTGATGTCGTAGACTGGAAGTTCGACACCCACCACAATGGCAGCTCGCTGGGCCGTGGGAACTACACCCTATCAAAGGAAAAGAAAGACCTGGAAGTTAGTGGCCTTGGTCACAATTTTGCTGTCTTTGGCTGGAACTCCCCATTATGCTTGTTCTCAGATGCCTTAATGTCTGCAATTTTTTGGAAGAGAAAAGTCCACTAGCTGTTAGGTTCACTCCCAGGATTCTGAGAAAAAGAACATCTTCAAAAAATATCCTGAGAACAGGAAGCTAAGAAGCAAATTGTTGTTGTTATTGTTACCCAAATAGATTACTGCAATGCATTCTATGTGGGGCTGCCTTTGAAGACTGTTCAGAAACTTCAGCTAGTCCAACGGGCTGCAGCCAGACTACTAACTGGAGCGACATACAGGGAGCATACCACCCCCTTGTTGTGCCAGCTCCACTGGCTGCCGATCCACTTCCAAACTCAATTCAAACTGTGGGTTTTGCCCTATAAAGCCCTATAGGGTTCTGGCCCACCTTACTTGTCCGAACGCATTTACCTCTACATCCCACCTCGCAGTTTAAGATCATCCGGGGAGGCCCTGCTCTCGCTCCTGCCAGCGTCGCAAATGCATCTGGTGGAGATGAGAGACAGGGCCTTCTCGACTGTGCCCCCCCCCCCCCCCGACCTGTGAAACTGGCTTCCCATCAAGGTAAGATCGGTTTCATCCCTCCTGTGTTTTAGGAAGAAATTGAAGTCATGGTTCTGGAACCAGGCTTTTGGACAGCAGGCATAAATAGCACTTTGGATATTGAATTCGACTGGAATGGTGATATGGCTGTTAATACCGTTTTTACCGTTTTAATTAATGTTTTATTTATTATTTTAATTGTTGTTATATTGCTTTGTTATATGTAGTGGCATCAAATTGTTGCCATATGTAAGCTATCCTGATTCCCCTTTCAAGGGTCGAGAAGGAACGGGGTAGAAATACTGGAAATAAAAATAATTATTAACTTTCTTTACATACTAGCTTTCTCTCTCAGGGGACTCAAGGCAGCTATGCCTGAGATGTATTTTCTAGGACAAAGAGGTAAAAAGGAGGAATGGAGTGAGAAGAAGGGGAATGACTGCTACTTCCTGCAGGCTTCCAAGTCAAGCTCATCTTCCTCCCACTCCAACACTTTGCTAGGCATGCAACCAAGCTGACAGGGTGGTTAAGCCTCTAACGGGGCAACAGAAATGAGGCCGATTCGATCCGCACGGCAGAAGCAGAGACACCCCACCGCACAAGCAAGCTGATTTACGAGTCACAGGAAATGAGCCAAAACTCGTCCCCTTTAAGTGTATGGAGATACCGTTAAGATTAGCAAGGTCTGGTAACGCTGACTTAGTTCTGGGCAACGGAGAGTGGCTTGGGACGTGGAAGAGTGGCAGCCACAGGTGCAGGAGTTGACAGGGGCTACAATGTCTAGAAGTTCATTCCAATTCCAAATGTTGTAACAAAGGAATTCTTGAAATGAGTCAGTTCAAAGAAAATGACAAGAAAGGATGAAGATTTGCAGACAAAGAGAAGAAAGAGGTTTGCACCTACTGCCCAGTTTTACTATTACCTTGGATTCTATTGCTTTCTACATTGAGAAAAACATTTTAAAATCAACAGTGGGACCTCTACGTAAGAGCTTCCCAACTTAAAAAAAAAAATATTGGGTTAAGAGCGGTCACTCAGCCCAGGTTTTACTTTGACATACAAGTAGTGTTTTGTGTTAAGAGCTAGCACCACTGGAAGCACTAGTGCAGTGCTTCTCAACCTGTGGGTCCCCAGATATTTTGGCCTTCAACTCCCAGACATCCTAACAGCTGGTAAACTGGCTGGGATTTCTGGAAATTGTGGGCCAAAACACCTAGGAACCCACACATTGAGAACTACTGCACTAGTGTAAGAGTACAAGACTTTAGGGCTTCAGGGAGCAGCCACTGTGCCTTGTGCTCTTGTCCACTTTGGCGGATTGCTGTCCACTTTGCTCTTGTCCGCTTCGAGAAACTTTGGGTTAGTTGATTTTGTGTGGTTTTTATTCCTGGTATGTTTGGTTTCATGAAGAGAGAGAGGGAGAGAGGCTGGAAAGAATACAGTATGAAGAAAATTATGCTTTTGCCTCATCAATTTGTGCTTCGTTGTCCCAACTTTGTGCTTCCACCATTTGATCTTTCTTTTTTTTAATGTTCTCTGTGAAGGTGCATGTTTTGCTTACTGTTACATTGGCCAACGCACATTTTGTTGCCTCAAATGTGCTTCCTTGCCACATCTTTGAGCTTTTACTATTTTAAAGTCAATCTATCTTTTTTATTATTTCTTGTGAGTGTGCATTTATACATTACTTGTTATTTATAAAATACATTTTCTTATTTAAAAGCATGTAACAAAAAATATGGAGGGGGCAGGACAGATTAATTGCATTTCAGTAGGAAAATTCACTTTGAGATAAGAGTGATTTGACTGCAGAGCTCAGTCACAGAATTATGCTCTTAAGATATCACTGTATATCTCAGAACAACCTTTTCACCCAGCACCAAATCTGCAATTATGAAGAATCCGATTAATAGTGAGATAGCTAAAAAAAAAAAAGATCTTCTAAGAAATGTTAAGAATAAACATCTGGAAAATTAAATTATTCAATTATTGAGTCTCCCAGTACTAAATCAACTGCAAATATAACAGTATTGCCTTAATATTTTTTTGTTCTTGTGGGAAAAGGACTGGGGGGGCCCCTCAAGCACCACTTACCCGCCAGAGCCCCCGCGTGCCTTCCTGCTGATAGATGTCTATGAAGCTTCCAATCATTCCACCCTGGAACAGACTGCCCTGAGCTTGCATTCGGATCTAAAAAGGAGATGGAAGATCAGCAAGTGACTTCTGTGTCAGGGAAGCAAATCAGTAATGTTCCTGAAAATATGAAAGAGTCAACTGTAACCCAAAATACATGCTTGGAAAACTGAGATGCTAAGCCATCAATACTTCAAGCCCTTTATGGGACTGAGCACAAGCCTCTCAAATTCTCTTGCCTGACTTAATTGGTCCTCAATCCATAACCCATAAGTGGGTCATACTCTACCCAGCCAATCTCCTGAGAGTGGCATTCTGGAGCCAGTAGAAGGCAAGATCTTTCTTTCCTCTCCCCATCTTGAGAACTGAAAGGAGAGACACAGAATACTCTTGGCTAGAGGTCTGAATAGATGATGTACTTTAAAAGTAGGTTGAGGGTTGCAGGATGTTCCTACTCTAATCTAAAATTATATCTAAACCAGTTTCTTTTGTTCTTTCCAAGGGTGGAATTTTCCAAGGAGACGGGGAAAAAACCCAAACCAGACAAAGGGTGATCACATCAAAGGAAGAACAGGTCTTCTGAAGTCTTAAACAGAGGTGAAAAAGATGAAATTTTGTTTGATTCTTATTTCTGAATTATAATATAATAATAATAACATTATTTTTATACCCCACCAATCATCTCCCCAAGGGGACTTGGGGCGGCCTACAAGGGACTAGCCCAAAAATTACAACAAAACGTAACAGATTAAAACATCAAATATGAAAATATAAAAGTCACAATTGTAAACAAACATCAAGCAATATGGCTGAGATAAAGAACATCGCTGAGGTATAAGATACACTTGCTCAAATTTTGTCCAAAAGACAGAAGCATATACAAAAACAATTTAAATCACACAAGTGTTAATAATTTAGTAATATTGTTAAAGATTGATCATTCACTGTTGGTCTTGTTCTTAGAATAATGAGTGTTACTTAAAATAGTAGCTGTAGAAATCTGTCATGTTGTGGAAACAAAACAAAGCAATCTATATAAATAAAAATGCAATGCTCGTCACGTTGTGTGAGGGGAGTAGACCACCGCGACGCGCGACAACAACACGCTGCGGAGAGGGAGCGTGGCTCGTGCTGAGCGCAGAGCGTAGAAGACTCGTCGAGTGCAGGAGGTCAAAAACCATGTATGCCCTTCACTAAAAAATATGATTTTGTCATGTGGGAGTTGTAGTTGCTGGGATTTATAGTTCACCTACAATCAAAGAGCATTCTGAACTCCATCAACGATGGAATTGAACCAAACTTGGCACACAGAACTCCCATGACCAACAGAAAATACTGGAAGGGTTTGGTGTGGCATTGACCTTGAGTTTTGGAATTGTAGTTCACCTACATCCAGAGAGCACTGTGGACTCAAACAATGATGGATCTGGACCAAACTCTACACGAATACTCAATATGCCCAAATGTGAACACTGGTGGAGTTTGGGAAATAGAATCCTGACATTTGGGAGTTGTAGTTGCTGGGATTTATAGTTCACCTACAATCACAGAGAATTCTGAACCCCTCCAACGATAGAATTGGGGCAAACCTCCCACACAAAACCCCATGTGGGCCACAGCAATGCATGGCAGAGGACGGCTAGTTCATTGATAAATGGCTCAAATAAGAAAGAAGACTTTAAGCATAGTAAGCCCCTCTTACCTTCAGAACATCTGTGGGGTTTGCCAGTGCAGAGGATATGACTCCTGATACTACCCCACAGATAACATTGATCAGTAACGTTTCATCTGCAATTGGAAAAAACGATTATATCATATTTTAAATACTATATCACAAGAAGAAAGAGCAGATTTCAAGAAGGAAAAGTGAAAGTGATGAAAGATCAAATGCTACTTGAAGACAAAAGACGCCAGCTTCCCAGCCTCCTCTACTGGACAAATGGCATTAAGGACAGCAATATATCTCGGTTGAATTCTAATCAAAGCAATTGTCATGGTTGATAACACAAAGGAAGGAGCTGGTTCCCCATTATCTTGCTCTTCACTGCAGTTGTCAGCCGAACCAGCAGAGTGGGGAACGTGAACTCTGAAGGTGGCAGATAGCATTCCAACGCTATTTGTAGACACCTAGAGCTCAACAAAAACTTGTGGATCACTTAGGATTACAAAAAGTAGGCCCAGAGAGCACCAATATTCTCCCACGTGCCTTCTGGATATTTGGAGGGGGGGGGGGGTAATTTAAAAAAATCATTTAAGCAGGTGGAAGTGATATGCTAAAGTCCCCTAGCAGGCCAGTCGGACTCTCTACACCTGTAAGTTGCCCAACCCATGTCAAGAAGTACCACCCAACTTAATGGTTCCCTCAAAGAAATTTAATTGGGAGTAGAATGGGAAAAAACCTCAGCAAAGTTGATAAGGCAGTTAGTTCAGAGAAGAAAAGCTAAGAGTTAGAGCGGAGTTATGCTGGGAAGGGCAGAAGTACTGACCGCAGCACTCTCCAAAGGAGACCGGGTCACTGGCTGCCCTGGGCCTGCGGGGAAACAAACATTTAGGACATCGTACCCACAAGCAGAAAGACCACAAAACAGCATATCTGCAGAGGTAACCTCATGGGACAGTGAAAAGATAAGCAGGGAGGCATGACCACTAGATATCGATCACAGCATAAAGTTCAATTGTTGTAAACTCTACAGATAGTTATAATCTACACTAGCGGTCCACAAAAACTAAAATATGGTCCACGGCCTCATCATTACTACACTACTGCAATGAGAGTGACTGACTGTATTTCCATCTACGAACCCACGTGATAATTTCAATCCTCAAGAGAGGCCCTTCCTTCGCTCCTGCCCGCATCGCAGGTGCAACTTGCAGGGACGAGAGAGAGGGCCTTCTCTGTGGTGCCCCCCCCCCCCCCAGCTCTGGAACTCACTCCCCAGAGACATTAGACAAGCCCCTACACTGGCAATCTTTAGGAGGAATTTGAAAACCTGGTTATTCCAATGTGCCTTCAGTGATTGAATGTAAGATTCTCCCTGACCACACTTTGCACAAAATGTCCTTAGATGCACTTTGTTTTATGGGTTGTGCAATGAAATCCTTCCTCATTCTTGGAGCCTCCTCCTTATAAGATACACTGTCCTATTTCCCAGTGTTTTTTTTTTAAAAAATTATAATTTTATCCATGCATCTGGCCCTGCCTAGTGAAATTCCCTGTGTTTTTAATGTTTGATTTTATATTGTTGTGTTGTATATTATTTTGATTTTGCATTTTATGTATTTTGCTCGTTTTATTGTGTTTTTTGTTATATCGCTTCTATTGTATCGATGGACATGGCCTCATGTAAGACGCACCGAGTCCCCCTGGGGGAGATGGAGCGGGGTATAAATAAAGTTTTATTTTATTATTATTATCTCACAAAACCCTCTTATAGTATCAAGATTTATGGTTTTCTGTGGCTGAGCAGATGGTAACTACTGGATGGTATATGTTCTGTATGAGAAACTAGAGCTGATGTGTTCTATCCAATACAATTTTCTGAATCAGCACCCCAAATAACTAAACTAAATCTAAAGTTAATCAATAACTGATTCATAACCTTTTGGTACTAATGTTGGAGTGTGGGTCGTCAAAAAAGGGTTGCGAATCACTGATCTACACCATAGTTTAAATATCTGAAGCCTGGAGGTGACGGGAGTACCAATATAATGTTTTGATCAAGCAATAGGTCCAAATTTCCTCTAAAAGGCAAGAGAAAGCACCGTACTGTAGAGAAACTGAATTGTAGTGCAAAAGAAGTGATAGAAAGAATGGCATGAAACAAACAAATATGACACTAGTAGTCTCCCCATCTTGAATGATGACTAGAATATTTCCAAATTCAGTAATTTTAATGAAACACAATTGTTATTCCCACTGAAGTAGCATGCATAGTGTCCATCACAGAAGTTTCCTGCATGCAGCACCCAACACCATAGAAATCAAATTCAGACAACAAGTACTGAGTCAATTCGAATTTCATTTTTGGACCAAGCCTTGCCAATATGTAATCACTTGGGTAAACAGCAAGGTAGTTCTCTTTCCCTTAAAAAAACTGAAGGAAGAAAGAAAACATTTCTTCTACTTTGAACATGTTGGTCTTTTATAACAGCAGTCAATTTCTGTAACACCTTTGAATGCAATTTTGAATTTTGGAATCAAACTTGTACACTTTGGAGATCTGAAACCTTATGTTAGTCACAAGAGACAGAAAAGGGTACATGACAAATTCATCATAATTACACATAGCACCATTACTGCATTGCCATCACAATCAAGATTAATATTAATAGTATATTTATTATATGCCTCTCCCTGCAGCTGAAAAGTCCGTAATACCTTCCTGACACACTCACCTTCTAAACGATCCACAAAAAGCCGCTTTAAACTTTGATATATACCAATTTTTATGGTGCCATAGGACGCTTGTCTTAACAAGGCTGGAGCAATCCTGTAATAGATGGAAAGAAAATAAGCTCAGATCCACAGCGTGATTCTATCTCATGTCCCAGCCCGCACCTCTAGCTCATAATATCTAAAGGCTTTGGAACCTCAACTTTGAGAGGTAGATATATGAAGTAATGAGGAATGACTGGAAGGAATGAGAGGGACATAACTTTACCCAGAATATAGCGCTAGAATGCCTTCCTCCCTAGAGATGCGGAACAAGGCATGAAACATGCCCCGGTACTTGATCTCTCGGAAACGGGCATCAATGCTTTGGCCTTGGACTTGAAGTCGCGTTTTGGTGAGATCTACAGGGAAGGTCCCTGAAAGAGAATAAAACAAAACAGGCAACGGTTCAGACAACACAGTGACTGGTAACTTTCCCCACCACACAATAATGATGCACAGATTTGATTAGGATGCAGAGAAGCTCAAGGATTTATTTTCCATTCTACACAGTCCAGCCATAGATTGAGCTAATCTAATTCATCCAAGTTATATTTGTTCCAGTTGTATTTTACACTCATTCAAGCAGCACAAGGGGATTCTCAGGCAGTCTTTCATCCAAGTGCTGAACAACGATGTCTCTTCAAAAGCAGAATTACGCAGTGACTACAGCATCTTATTTATAGAGTCTTACATTACAGAACTGAACCAACACTACTCCAAGGTGAAATGTTCAATGCAGTGAGGTTACATCTGATTATTGCAAAGCATCACAATGATATTAGCAGAGGAGAACCTCAATATCACCATTCTTTCCATTACGCAATTCTGCAGAAACATTAGATGAACTCTTATTTCTGCTACCACTGTCAGTTTGAATCTACTGGAATGGAAAGGTAAAGGTTTTCCCCTGACATTAAGTCCAGTCGTGTCCAACTCTGGGGGTTGGTGCTCATCTCCATTTCTAAGCTGAAGAGCTGGTGTTGTCTGAAGACACCTCCAAGGTCATGTGGCCAGCATGGCTGCATGGAGCACCAGCAATCAGTAAATCAGGCTCCTTCACTATCACGATAAATGAGATAGAAAGTCCGCTCCCACTTCAACTTTAACCCTCCATTCTACAATAATACTGACCTACCTTACATAGATGTAAGGATTACTGGAAATATATTAAAATCATTTTGAGTACTTTAAATAGCTACATATTGGCTGGCTTCCTTCTATGAACATGGTAAAGTCACACATACATCCAAATGGGCAAAGGAACAGAAAATGGGAAATAACAAAATTCTTATATGAAATGATAATACAATTAGGTAGAACATCATTTTAGGATAGAAAGACAAGCACCTACATATATAAATGCTAATTATTACTTGGAAGGAAAAACAAACCAAGAAGTGTCTTATGTAAAGAATATTTGGACCCTTCCACACAGCCCTATATCCCAAAATATCAAGGCAAAAAAATCTCACAATATTTGCTTTGAACTGAGTTATCTGTGGCCCTTTTTACACATTTGAATAAAATTCCAAATTATCTGCTTTGAACTGGGATATATGGCAGTGTGGACTCAGATAACTTAGGGCCCTTCCACACAGCCGCATAACCCAGAATATCAAGGCAGAAATCCCACAATATCTGCTTTGAAGTGGGTTATGTGAGTCCACACTGCCATATATTCCAGTACAAAGCAGATAATGTGTGATTTTATTCAGCTGTGTGGAAGGGGCCCCAGTTTAAAGCAGATATTGTGGATTATTCTTTCTTGATATTCTGGGTTATATGGGTATGTGGAAGGGTTCTGAGTCCACACTGCCATATATTGCCATTCAAAGTAGATAATGTGGGAATTTATTCAGCTGTGTGGAAGAGGGCCTTACGCTTACACAGATGAACCAACAACACTCCAAGGTAAACTTTTTATATGTGGGGAGTTACCTATCCCATATATTCACATACAGTCCTATAATTTCCAAAACGCAGCCTAAAAATACTGGGTGACTCATCCACAGGTCAATGTGAGTACTAACCTTATTGGGAAAGGAACAATTCCCTTTTTTGAACAGAATGCCTTCCTTGGGGGAGGAACCTAGGTTGCATTAGCAGAAAGGCCTGGAATCATGGATTTTGGGGCCTGAATCATAATTTTGGCTTTAAAAATTGTCTTTGATTTAGATATGAAGTATTCACTATAGTACTGCTCTCACTATTATTTAGGGAAAGTAAAACCCAGATCACAATCAAGAGTGACTGTCAAAAGAAGGATTTGATGGAGAAAGAAAGAAAAAAAAAACAACAACAAAAAGGAGTCTTGTGACATCTTGTGGACAGAATGTGGTACAAGCTTTTGCAGACTGAAGTCCACTCAAACACACATACAGAGGTTTGAAAAATATAGCAGATCAGACTTCCCATCCACACAATAAAGCAAGGCACATTCTGCTGGCTCAGCCAGAAGGAACTGCCATTTGATTTCTATTTTCCAATAACAAATAAAAAGTTATCCGATCTTAATGTGAAAACATTACGTTATTATTAAGAAAGTATTACATATATAACAATATAGAAATTTCTATCTACCCTTCTAGAGCCCTTCCACTGCTTGAAACTGATTATGAAAGATAAAACCGCCAGGCATATAAAACAATGAGCATACAACAAAATCAACACAACAACATCAAAACAAACCCTTGACAGTTGGTTTTAATCATGAATTTTAAACTTGCATCTTGCGTTCATTATATTTTATTATTTGTTCTAAGTATTTTCATAAATGTTCTTTATAGAATTACATTTTAGTAAGTGTATTTTATATAATGATTATATGTTTTAAGCTATGTTACAACCGGCCTTGAGACACACTGAAAGGTAGGTAAGAAATAAAATAATAATTATTATAATCGGCTATCCCCAATAATGATGATGATGATGTTGTCAGGGACAGTTGATACCCATGTTTCCCAGGGCAAGATGTTCCAAAATACTGGAATTCAGAAGGTGCCATTTCTTGTTACGTCATATATGCTAGCATTAAGATCCCCTTTACACTGCCATATAAAATCCAGATTATTTGATTTGAACTGGATTATATGGCAGTGTAGACTCATATGATCCAGTTCAAAGCAAATAATGTAGATTATCTGATATGATAATGTGGATTATATGGCAATGCAGAAAGGATACAAGCATTTTAGAGCCTTAAAGACAATAACTGACACGTGCCTGGAAACTGATAATGTTGCAGAAGTGATGCAATACACTTGCAGCTCTGTTCTGGGATCACACATAGCTTCTAGGCCCCCTTTATGCAGCTGTATAAAATCTGGATTATCTGTTTTGAACTGGATTATATGGCAGTGTAGAAGGGGCCTCATATAATCGAGTTCAAATGAGATAATCTGGATTCTGAAACTGGATTATATGGTGATGGAGACCCAGGGCCCTTCTGCACATCCCTATATCCCAGAATATAAAGGTAGAAAATCCCACATTATCTGAGTATGGACTCAGATAACGCAGTTCAAAGCAGATATTGTGGGATTTTCTGACCTGATATTCTGGGGTATAGGTCTGTGTGGAAGGGCCCCTAGCCTCTATAAAGCATTACACTAATCAAATGTTAATGAAACTATGGCGTGAATCACCACCGACAAGACTGTGTTCAATTGTGTGTGTTTGTCTATGCCCCCCCCCCCCACCATACTTATATCTCCTCACCAAAAAAGGGAAATGCTAAAGACTGCTCAAACTTCCGTACAGTGGCCTTTATTTCTCATGCCAGTAAGGTCATGCTCAAGATCCTGCAAGGAAGACTCCAGCAATCCATGGAGAGAGAGCTGCCAGATGTACAAGCTGGGTTTAGAAAAAGCAGAGGAATGAGAGACCAAATTGCCAATATCCGGATGCTGGATAATGGAGAAAGGCAGGGAGTTTCAGAAAAACATCTATTTCTGTTTTATTGACTATTCCAAAGCCTTTGACTGTGAGGGTCAGAATAAATTGTGGCAAGTTCTTGGTGGTATGGGCATACCAAGTCACCTTGTCTCTCTCCTGAGGAATCTGTATAAGAACCAAGTAGCAACAGTAGCAAGTGACCATGGAACCACAGACTGATTCAAGATTGGGAAAAGAGTGCGGCAGGGTTGTATACCCTCACCCAACCTATTCAACTTGTATGCAGAACACATCATGCGATGTGCGGGGCTTGAGGAATGCAAGGCTGGGGTGAAAATTGCTGGAAGAAACATTAACATTAGATATGCAGATGACACCACTTTGATGGCCAATGATTGACAACTGGGAAATAGAGGGACAAAACGTGGAGGCCATGACAGACTGTATTTCTAGGTGCAAAGATTACGGCAGACACAGACTGCAGCCAGGAAATCAGAAGACGCTTACTTCTTGCGAGGAGAGCAATGACCAATCTCGATAAAATAGTGAAGAGTAGAAACATCACACTGGTAATGAAGATCTGCATAGTTAAAGAATTGTATTCCCTGTAGTTACCTACGGATGTGAGAGCTGGACCAGAAGGAAGGCTGAGCGAAGGAAGAGAGGCGCTTTTGAATTGTGGTGTTGGATGAAAGTGCTAAGAGTGCCTTGGACAGCGAGAAGATCCAAACAGTCCATCCTCCAGGAAATAAAGTCCGACTGCTCATTGGAGGGAAGGATAGTAGAGGCCAAGATGATGTACTTTGATCACATTGTGAGAAGAAAGGAAAGCTTAGAGAAGACAATGATGCTGGGGAAAAGGGAAGGAAAAAGGAAGAGGGGCCGAGCAAGGGCAAGATGGAGGGATGGCATCCTTGATGTGACTGGATTGACCTTGAAGGAGCTGGGGGTGGTGATGGCTGATAGGGAGCTCTGGTGTGGGGTGGTCCATGAGGTCACAAAGAGTCGGAAACAACTGAACGAATGAACAACAACAAAATTGCGCCCCAACCTCTTTTTAAAAAAACTTACAGGTGTTTCATTTAAAGCTTGTTTTACACCTAGAAACCATTTTGGACATTTTGCAAGTTCCTTTCTAATGGAATAATAACTGAGCCATTATGGAATAATAACTGAGCCATTAAGCAAACATCCATATGTGGACCAAGATTATACACCAAAGGATATCCATAAAAATGTATGCTGCATTAGAAAACCTAGAAAAAGGGGATCAGAGGGCCCTTGCACAGTCATATAACCCAAAATATCAAGGCAGATAACCCACAATATCTGCTTTGAACTGGACTATCTGAGTCCACACTGCCATATAATCCAGTTCAATGTGTTCATTGAACACACTGAACACAATTGAAGTTCAATGGTGACAAATGCAAAATACTCCACTTTGGCAGGAAAAACGAAATGCACAGATACAGAATGGGGGACAATGCCTGGCTCGAGAGCAGTACGTGTGAAAAAGATCTTGGAGTCCTCGTGGACAAGAAGTTAAACATGAGCCAACAATGTGAAGTGGCGGCAAAAAAAGCCAATGGGATTTTGGCCTGCGTCAATAGGAGCATAGTGTCTAGGTCCAGGGAAGCAATGCTATCCCTCTATTCCGCTTTGGTTAGACCACACCTGGAATATTGTGTCCAATTCTGGGCACCACAATTCAAGATAAATAATGACAAACTGGAATATGTCCAGAGGAGGGCGACTCAAATGATTAAGGGTCTGGAGAACAAGCCCTATGAGGAGCGGCTTAAGGAGCTGGGCATGTTTAGCCTGAAGAAGAGAAGGATGAGGGGATCTGATAGACATGTATAAATATGTGAGAGGAAGCCACAGTGAGGAGGGAGCAAGCTTGTTCTCTGCTTCCTTGGAGACTAGGACGCGGTACAATGGCTTCAAACTACAAGAAAAGAGATCCCATCTGAACATGAGGAAGAACTTGCTGACTGTGAGAGCCGTGGAACTCTCTGCCCCGGAGTGTGGTGGAGGCTCCTTCTTTGGAAGCTTTTAAACAGAGGCTGAATGGCCATCTGTCAGGGGTGATTTGAATGCAACATTCCTGCTTCTTGGCAGAATGGGGTTGGACTGGATGGCCCATGAGGTCTCTTCGAACTCTTTGATTCTATGATTCTATAATGTGGATTTTATACAGATGTGTGGAAGGAACCAGAGATGCATCATCATTCTGCTCCTGAAAGATCCCTCAAACTAGGCCTCTTCCACACAGCTGTATAAAATCCACATTGAACTGGATTATATAGCAGTGTGGACTCAGATAATCCAGTTCAAAGCAGATATAGTGTGATCTTCTGCCTTGATTTTCAGGATCATGTGTCTGTGTGGAAGGGGCCTCAGGCAGAGTTACTGGGTTTTGCAACGCAGTTGGAAGGCGGTCCTAACAAGGGTTGAAGAATACAGAAGAAAGCCGCGAAGCAATCGAGCGCAGGCTCCACAGGCCGCGGGGAAAGCAGCTCGCCGTTACTAAGCAACCGGAAAGGTGTGGCCTACATCCCGCGGTCACTGAGAACGGAGAAGGAGCCTGTCGCGCATGCGCAGATGCGACCCGCCCCTCCCTCACGCCGCCCCTCCCTCCACTCACCAAACTCGGCCACGAGCGAGGCCAGCCCGCCGTACACGAACGGCTTCCAGCTCAAGGCCGACATGGCGGCCGAGGAAAGGAGGCGGCGGCGCCTTCCCGGGCGCGGCCTCACTCCTCGCCCTCAGGAGAACGGAGCAACCCGGTCCGGCAAGCCCCTCACTCCGGAGAAAGTGGGACAGGCTGTCGTTTGCCGGCTTGGTCGCCACTGCGCAGGCGCGGACCAAAGCTCGCGATTGGCGGAGCTGTTGTAGATCCGCAAAGAGGCCGGGCCCCGCCCCCGCGTGACGTCGCTCAGCTAGACCCCGCCCCTAACACGTGATGTCGCTCAGCTGAGCCCCGCCCCCTCTTTGCTTTCAGTGTATTCTGCGACCTTAGAGGTGCGCCTGCGCAGTCTGGCACCACTTTCACTATTCACCGAGCCCCGCCCCGCGTGACGTCGCTCAGCTAGACCCCGCCCCTCACGTGAAGTCACTCAGCTGGGCTCCGCCCCCTCTTTGCCTTAAATTTGTTCTGCGACCCTGGCTGTGCGCCTGCGCAGTCTGGCACCACTTTCACCGTTCACCGAACCCCGCCCCCCGTGACGTCGCTCAGCTGGACCCCGCCCCCTCTTTGCCTTAAATGTGTTCTGCGATCCTAGCGGTGCGCCTGCGCAGTCTGCCACCACTTTCACTATTCAGAGTCCCGCCCCTCACGTGACGTCTTCAGGTGGGCCCTYTCTCCTTTTGCCTGCAATGTCTTCTGCGACCCTAGGGGTGCGCCTGCGCAGTTTGGCACCACTTTCCCTYCTTTTCGCCGAGCCCCCGCGTGACGTCGCCAAACCAAGCCCCGCCCCTCCTTCAATGTGTTCTGCAAACCTAGGGATGCGCCTGCGCAGTTTGGCACCACTTTCCCTGCTGTTCGCCGAGCCCCGCCCTCGCGTGACGTCGCCCAGCCAAGCCCCGCCCCCTTTCATCTTCAATGTGTTCTGCAACCCCGATGGTGCGCCTGCGCAGTATGATACCACTTTTCCTGCTCAATACTATGGGAAAGGGCGGAAAGTTAAAAGCCACCACTTGTAAATAAATGTTTGTAATTTGGGGACTGTTAGTAGCCTGCTAGGAATTGTGAGCATTGAAGTCCAAAACACTCTAGACTACACCAGGCACGGGCAAACTTTGGCCCTCCAGGTGTTTTGGACTCTAACTCCCACAATTCCTGGCAGGCTACCAGGCCGAAGATTGCACATGTCTGGTCTACACTGATGGCTTCAAGGGATGTCAGATTCACATTCTGCAAGTCGAGAAGACCTCACACTCCCCAAGTTACAGACAAGATCGGTTCTGTACATTTCTTCTTAAGTTGAATTTGTTTGTAAATCAGAATATGTACATTACTAACTGTAACTCCATTTTTATTTCTATTTATAGTACGTAAAGGTTTCCCTTGACATTAAAGTCTCTGGGGTGTGGTGCTCACCTCTATTTCTATGTCGAAGAGCCGGCGATGTCCGTAGGCGCCTCCAAGACTACATGGAGTGCAGTCACCTTCCTGCCAGAGCTGTACCTATTGATCTACTCACATTTGCATGTTTTTGAACAACTAAGTTGGGAGAAGCTGTGGCTGACAGTGGAAGCTCACGCCTTTCCCGGCATTCAAACCTCTGACCTTTCGGTCAACAAGTTTAGCAGCTCAGCAGTTTAACCCACTACACCACTACACAACTGGGTTGTTGTGTGTTTTCTGGGCCATATGGCCATATTCCAGAAGCATTCTCGTCTGATGTTTCACCTGCATCTATGGCAGGCATCCTCAGAGGTTGTGAGACAGGATGTCACTGCCGGCTCACAACCTCTGAGGATGTCTGCCATAGATGCAGGCGAAACATCAGAAGAGAATGCTTCTGGAACATGGCCATACGGCCCAGAAAACACACAACAACCCAGTGATTCCGGCCATGAAAGCCTTCGACAATATATATAAAAAACTTTTGGAAAGCACAAGGAAAGGTCAACACCCCTGTGGTGTTTGTTTTCCTATCTGTACCTTTGTACAGATTTCACCTTTTGGAAAGTTTGGCCTCTTGTGAAGACAAAGCTTCAGTGGAGACCCATTTTCTCCATGATAATGACTATTTCAGGATCAAATTTCCCTCCAGAGGGGTAGATTTCTCTCACTTCCTGTTCTCTCTGCCCTGTTGTTAGCTAAGAGTCCTAGGACCCTTTGTGATCGCATTTCCTCCTATGAACCTACGCAATCTCTTCGATCTTCAGGGGAGGCCCTCCTCTCGCTCCCACTGCTTGTGGGGACGAGGGAGAGGACCTTCTCTGTGGTTGCCCCTAGGCTCTGGAACTCACTCCCCAGGGAGATTAGGCAGATAGCCACCCTGGCAGCCTTTAGAAAAAGTTTAAAAACTTGGCTTTTCCAATGTGCTTTTGGGGAACGAACAACCAATTTCCATGCCACATCCCGTCCCATCCCCGGACCAATTTGCCTTTCTGATGCTCCTCATTTCATCCCTCAGTTGGAGATTAACTTTATTGTTATCCCGTCCGAGCCTCCCACTAGTCATAGCACCTTCTATCTATCTCACCCATGGGCTTTATGCATTTTTTACCCATCTCATTTGGCCTAATTCCATTAGCATTTTATCATATGTTTTTATTATGTTTTTGTTATTTTCATTTCATTACTATGTTATTCTTCAGCATTTTATTTGATGTTATTGTCTGTTTTATATGTACTTTTGCATTATTGTAATTGTTTGGGCTTGGCCTCATGTTAGCTGCTCCAAGTCCCGGGGAGATGGTGGCGGGGTATAGCCTGTGCTATGCTAATAATATAATATATTGTATATTCATATAATATTTATAATATTATAAGGTAATACAATATAATACTAATAATAAAATGGTATTATAATTATATATTTTATATTACCTGTAATATTACTAATAATATTACAATATAATGGTACAGTACAACATAGTAATATATAATACTGATATTGTACTATGCTAATAATATATTGTATGTATATATATCTTGTAAGTTGCTCTGAGTTCCCTTCGGGTGAGAAGGACGGCATATAAATGTCATAAATAAATACATAAAGATTATTATTATTATTATTATTATTATTATTATTATTATTAACATGGATGTTTGTAACTCAGGGACTGCCTGTAATTCAAAACAAATGCATTCATCCCAGATTTTTTTTTTTGGGAGGGGGAAACCAACTGATCTCAGACTACTGCTTTATGTATAAAATGAAAGAGATGGTCAATCAGATGCTCACATTTTCTCCTTTCTGAGGAGGCAAAGTCCAGCCCAAGAGTCAACCCCACGCTTCCGCTAAAGTTTTTGTCCAGACTGCAGAGTGGCCTCTCTCCCGCTGAACTGCTGAGGCCACCATGACCTGTCTGCAAAGGCTTAATAGCCACCTGAGGCCTTCTTCTCCTTTGACGGCTTCCCTTTGTCCTCCCCTCGGTCTCGAGAACTTCTGCTTCCAGCATCTTGAAGCCTTTCTTTTGGGGCATCGAGAGACTTGTGCTTCTCTTCCCTTTGAGAAACGCCCGGTTCGTGCCTGCCCCGATCTGTGCCTCCTCTTTCCCGGGACCTCTCTCTCTCCCGCTTGTGTTTGTGCCCCGAGAGGCTGCTCCAGTTTGGCTGACTCCCAGAAGCATATCGCTCATAGCCTGGATCTTCCTTCTCTTCTTTGATCCTGGTTTTAGGAGGCGGCACGTCTGCAAGCGGTTCTTCTTTCACGCGTTTCCGATGCTCCTTCTTCTCTTTCTTTTTCTTCTTCTTTTTCTCTTTGGAAAGAGTAAAAAAAGCATTGCAATCAAAAGGGTTTTCCACAAATATCCTTGCCCCAAACCCCTCTTTACCTCCACTTCTAGTGGATCATGGGACTTTCCATGAATCAGAAACAGGGAGTTTCTATTGAGCTTAAAACTGCATTAATGGAGAAAACGATCACCTTTTTTGTGTTTCTTCACTTCCACCTCATTCTCTTCGGAGGATTCAGATGAACTCGGAGGAGGCGTTTTAACACCACACCCCTTCTCTCTGAGTGTTTTTGTAACTTCATCAATATCCTCAGAATCTTTTGGTGGACGATAATTAGCAACATGATCTACTCGAATAGTCCTTCCTTTTATCTGTGAATACAGAAAAATGACAGTTATTTAACAGCCTCATGGCTGTTGTATTTGTACTGTGCAATGCTCTGCTGTTGAAGGTGCACCAATCATGTACCATATATACTCAAATATAAGCTGAGTTTTTCAGCCCATTGGCTTATACTCAAGTCAAGGTTATTTATTATTTTACTCTGACTATTATTTGTATTACATTTATTATTGTACTCTATTACTATTACATTTCTATTATTTTACTCTATTATTATTTTCCTCTATTATTATTATTATTATTATTATTATTATTCTGTTATTATTATATTTCCATTATTTTACTCTATTATTATTTCACTGTATTTATTTTTTCTCTATTATTATTACATCTATTATTTTACTCTATTATTACTGTTATTACTGCATTTCTATTATTTTACTCTTAAATCTAGAAATAGTTTTCTAAGATCTACAGAGACACTCACTGGAACACCTCAGCAAGCGAGAGTCCAAAAGTGGCAGGCTCAAACCCAGAGCCTCAACCAATGGCTGATACCCACTGAGAGACTCCCCCCTGGGCACACAGAAAATGGGGCGACTTGGAAGGCGCTGAACAGACTGCGCTCTGGCACCACGAGATGCAGAGCCAACCTCAAGAAATGGGGCTACAAAGTGGAATCCATGACATGCGAGTGGGAAGAAGAGCAAACTACAGACCACCTTCTACAATGCAACCTGAGCCCTGCCACATGCACAATGGAGGACCTTCTTGCAGCAACACCAGAGGCACTCCAAGTGGCCAGATACTGGTCAAAGGACATTTAACCAACTACCTAACTCACAAGTTTTGTATTTGTCTGTTTGTTTGTTTGCTTTGTTCTGTTAGAAATGTAATATAATGGACTGGTTGCTCTGACACGACAAATAAATAAATAATTTTACTATATACAGTACTTGGTTTGCCCGACACATCGGGACCCTTTTAGCTGACTGATCTGATTTGTTTAATTTCACCTGCTTTATTTCTTCCTGATAGTAAGAGTTGCTTGGCAGTGAAATATGCTGCCCGGGAGTCCGATGGAGTCTCTTTCTCTGAAGGTTTTTAAGCAGAGGCTGAATGGCCATCTTTGGGCTTTGATTGTGTGTTCCTGCATGGGAGAATGGAGTTGGAGTGCACAGCTTCAAGACAGCTGTTCCTTTTTCCTCCCCATTTCTAGGAACCTAGCCGAAATCCACCAGTCACATCTGAAAACTCACTCAAAGAGCCATTTCTGCATCACAATACACTTTCAGGGCAAGAGATTCTCAGCCCAACTCCAGACAGCAAACGGAGCAAAGAGGATTCCGGGGCTGTTGCATGATCACCCACCTTTATCCCGTTGAAATTATCAACTGCAAGGATGGTGCTTCGCTGATCTTCATAGCAAATGAAGCAGAAACCTTTGGATTTCCCTGTCTTCTTGTCACGAACCAGGTTTATGTTCACAATCTCCCCATATCTGCAGAGAAAGGCAGTAACTTCAACTTTTCTACTTTCAAAAACAGGTCAAGCAGAGTCACTTTAACAAAACACAAGTGCTAACATACAAAGCTTCACAACATTTTCTGAAAGCAATGTGGTCAAAAGGAGTTAAAAACAGATTCCGAAACTTATATTTGCTCCAGGTTCTAAATTATTATACCTATAACTAAAAGAATATTTATTTTGTATATTGCATGTATATCTACAATATACATTTACCTGAGGGTCAATCCTATTAAACTCAATGTGTCTTAGTTCAGTATAGATGCACTAAGATTTTTTTAATAATCTTGCAAACTATATATATAATTAATTGCTGTTTACTTTGATTTTATGGGAAACATTATTAAAAATCTTAAATAAATATGATCTTGGTGTATTAGACCTATTTTTACTTACTGTGAAAATACACAGATAATGTCCCCTTCTGTCAGTTCATATGGCAACCCCCCTAGAAAAAAAGAGAAGACATTAATAAAGATTTGAATTTAAAAAACACAAAGATAATTCAATTTAATTATCATATTCCAAGGACATGGCCCGTACCCACAAACACCCAAGCGCTGTCGCTGTATTCCGAATGCCAGGAAACCTTATCTTGCACTCCCAGCTGTGCTTCACGTTCATTCAGTTCGTTGATCAGCTTCACCTTAGTAAGTGGGCTAGAAAAGGGTAAAAACAGAAAAGGGGAGCTGAAACCAAAAGCCACACTGCATATCCCACACCTGACTTGGGATAATTGGGGTTCTCATTATTTATATTTATTATGTTAGGATCATAACCTATTGGATAGCAGAATTTCAGAAGCGCTCTTTTAGTTTACTGGGTAATGGATGATCACTGGGTGTGTAAATATCTTGTTTCTATTCTATGCTCTCAGCAGACAAAGATTCAAGTAGGCTTCTTTACAATACTCACAACTGCATGTATTTAAATATATAGGCATATTTTTTGGTCAGGTTAAACTTTAAACATTTATTTATTATTTATTTATTTGCTTTATTTTTATACCGCATTTTTCAGCCTAATTCGGCGACTCAATGCGGTTTACAATGCAATTTATAACAATAACAATTAGTTAAAACACAACATACTCGACAGACAATACAAGACAAACAACATAGTCATCAACGCCTCAGTAAAAATCAGATTCCGTTCTCATATTCCTTCTACCATTCCTTTGTTCATTTATACCGTCTTCAAGAGTTCAGTTGCCTTGTTGACCGAACGCCTGTTCATAGAGCCAAGTCTTGACTTAAACATTTAAGTTTGTATCTTTAACTTAATAATCTTCAACAGTCTCTTCAAAACTATATAGCTCTGGACAGCTCTCTTTCATAACAGTCTACTTCAAAGGGACTCAAGCCTCAACAAACTTCTAACATCCTACACTGGCTTCTGTACTCAAACTGACTCAAGCCTCAACTGTCATCCTTTAAACTGCATTCTAAGGAGTCACTGAACCAGTCATATGGTCTGCAGCCCCTCCCACTGCCTCAAGTACATAGAGTTAAGAAGACTGCAAACTAAAGAAGACATACACTTCAGGAAATAAATGACACATTATAAACAAGAAAACATTAAAAAGTGGAGGCTTGAGAAGGTTGCTATCTCCAATAATATTACTTCATTTTCATGCCACCCTTTCTCCAAGACTTAGTTTGCTACATGGCTTTCTATTAACCATGACCCAGGGTGCATCTACACTGTCGAATTAATGCAGTTGACCAGGAGCTTCTAGTGGTGCAGTGGGTTAAAACCTTGTGCCAGCAGGAGTGAAGACCAACAAGTCAGAGGTTGGAATCTGGGGAGAGTGTGGATGAGTTCCCTCTGTCAGCTCCAGCTCATCATGCGGGGACATGAGAGAAGCCTCCCACAAGGATGGTAAAACATCAAATCATCGGGACATCCCCTGGGCAATGTCCTTGTATATGGCCAATTCTCTCACACCAGAAGTGACTTGCAGTTTCTCAAGTCCCTCCTGACACAAAAAAAAAGAGATGGCTTATGCTGTGTAATTATGGGAGTTGTCTTTTGTAAGACTATTTGCAAATAATAATAATAATAATAATAATACCATTTTGAATATATTTTAATGGATTTTTACTGTGAATTTGTAATACTGCTATGTTTAATTATGTTTTAATTTATGCATATTTGTATATTTTGAACTGTGTGGTCATACTTTTAATGTAAGCCGCTTTGAGTCTCCTTCGAAAGAGATAAAGTGGGGTATAAATAAACATAGTAGTAATAATAATAATAAGAAGAAGAAGAAGAAGAAGAAGAGACACTTGGACCTAATGTGCTGTAACATTATGTACATGTAAATAATAATAATAATAATAATAATAATAATAATAATAATAATCCTTTATTTATTCCCCGCTCCATCTCCCCAGGGGGACTTGGTGCGGCTTACATGAGGCCATGCCCATCAATACAATACAAGCTATAACACAAACACAATAAAACAAGCAAAATACATAAAATGCCAAATCGAAATTATATACAACACAACAATATAAAATCAAGCATTAAAAACACAGGAAATTTCACTAGGCAGGACCAGATGCATGGATAAAATTATAGAAAATATTAAAAACACTGGGAGATAGGACAGAGTAACTTATAAGGAGGAGGCTCCAGGAATGAGGAAAGATTTAATTGCACAACCCATAAAGTAAAGTGCGTCTAAGGACAATTTGTGCAAAGTGTGGTCAGGGAGAATCTTTCATTCAATCACTGAATAATAATGTTTTTGTCACCCATTTTCCCTTGAGATGGGGTACAAAAATATTTGTTTTACTAACTTGTTATGGTTAATATATGTTAATGTTTTAAAATGTTTTAAATGTTTTTATGATGTTGTTGGGTATTGAATTGTTGCCTTGTGAACTGCCTCAAGTTCGCCTGCAGGCTGAGAGGGGCGGTATATAAATATAGCAAATTAATAATAATAATAACTAGCTGTCCCCTGCCACGCGTTGCTGTGGCCCAGTCTGTCGATATGGAAAATAAAGTAATGAGAAAGTATTGGTTTCTAATATATGTAATCCCTTTATGCTTGTGGGTAAACAGTATTTCTTGCTGTTTCTTTGTCAGTGTGGATGTGGAAAGTGTCTGGTTTGCCCACCCTGGAACATGCAAGATATCACTGTCCTTCTTTAGGGGTCCCTTTCAAATCTATGATACTATATTTGTGTGTGTGTAAATCATATCTATCTCTATCTATGGCTGGATGGCTCTTTGTCAGGAGGGCTTTGAATCTGTTTTCTTGCCCTGGTGAAGGAAGTTGGACTGGATGGCCTTAAGTATTTTCTGTTGGTCATGAGGGTTCTGTGTGGGACTGAACAGAGTTTGCCCCGATTCTGTTGTTGGTGGGGTTCAGAATGCTCTTTGATTGTAGATGAATTATGAATCCCAGTGACTACAACTCCCAAATGTCAAGGTTTATTTCCCCCAAACTCCATCTGTGTTCATATTTGGGTGTATTGAGTGCTTGTGCCAAGTTTGGTCCAGATCCATCATTGTTTGAGTCCACAGTGCTCTCTGGATGTAGGTGAACTACAACTCCCAAACTCAAGGTCAATGCCCACCAAACCTTCCAATATTTTCTGTTGGTCATGGGAGTTCTGTGTGCCAAGTTTGGTTCAATTCCATCGTTGATGGGGTTCAGAATGCTCTTTGATTGTAGGTGAACTATAAATCCCAGCAACTACAACTCCCAAATGACAAAATCATAATTTTTTGAGTGATGGTCACTCCTTGTGTTGTGAGACGTTTTGTTGCCAAATTTGGTGTGATTTCGTTCATTGGTTCTTTTGTTTTTAAGGTACTCATTATGCACAGAGCATTTTATATATAGATAGATATGTGTTTGTTGTTGTTCATTCGTTCAGTCGTCTCCGACTCTTTGTGACCTCATGGACCAGTCCACGCCAGAGCTCCATGTCGACTGTCACCACCCCCAGCTCCTTCAAGATCAATCCAGTCACTTCAAAGATGCCATCCATCCATCTTGCCCTTGGTCGGCCCCTCTTCCTTTTTCCTTCCATTCCCCAGCATAATTGTCTTCTCTAGGCTTTGCTTTCTCCTCATGATGTGGCCAAAGTACTTCAACTTTGTCTCTAGTATCCTTCCCTCCAGTCAGCAGTCGGGCTTTATTTCCTGGAGGATGGACTGGTTAGATCTTCTCGCAGTCCAAGGCACTCTCAGCACTTTCCTCCAGCACCACAGGTTCAAAAGCATCAATCTTCCTTCGCTCAGCCTTCCCTAAGGTCCAGCTCTCACATCCGTAGGTTATATATATAGATAATAATAAATACAACACTGTCAAAGCATGGCAACATAAAATACATACAAGAAAATACATATATTAAAATGCATTATTTATTTATTTATTTATTTACTCGAGGCGGTTTGATAATAATGCCTAATGAATGCATTATTATCAAATGCATATATTAAAATGCACCACTATATATACATATCTCAAAACACATCACTAGAAAATACTTATATTAAAATGCATTACTAAAATTCATATTTTAGAACACATTACTATCAAATACATATTTAAAACACAAACTGTACAATGATTAAAATACAGTAAGAATAGAATGCCAATTTAAAATTGCCAAGGTAGGCTAAAGACCTTGTCAGACTTGTCCAACTCCCACAGTTCCATAACACCGAGCCCTGGCAGTTAAAGCGGGCTCAAACTGCATTAACTCTACAGCGTAGATGCACCCAAAACTTACTTCATCTTGGTTTCTCTTCCTGTGTGAGTTTGCGCATGCGCGCTACTTCCCGGCAGGCTTCGGCGAGCGTCAGGTCGCGTCCTCTCTCCGGATAGGTCGAGCCTTCTCCTGGAGCAGCCAATCACGATCGTCCCTTGCCTCGTGCTCTTCGCCGCTTTCACGCGCCGCTTTGGAAGCCGAGATACTGCGCATGCGCAACCGCAGCTTTGTTGATAGTTCCAAAAGGCTGGCAGCTCAGAGATTTCCTTTCTTTTTTTGGCCCTGAAAAGTGTCATAAATGCGTCTAATGCAATTAAATCTCAAACCCCATCTCTCACAATAGTTAATGCATGTAACTCCTAATATATTACAACACTGAATTTAATAACTAAGGGTGCATCTACACTGTAGAATTAATGCAGTTTGACACCACTTGCATTACCATGGCTCAGTGCAATGGGATCCAGTTGCCCTTCCTAGCAAAAAAGCCATCAGATTTTAACCAAGGTGTGTATTTGATCCTATTTTAATATTTATAGTTTGGAGGGAGAATTTATAATTATTTATAATAAATTTATAATATAATGTAATATAATATATTGTATATACATGTAATATGTATAATATTATAATGTAATGCAATATACTACTAATAATAATATGATATAATTTTATATTTATATTACATGTAATATTAGTAATAATATTACAATATAATGGTATAGTACAAAATAGTAATATTCAATATTGACATTGTACTATGCTAATAATATAATATATTGTATGTATATATACCTTGTAAGCCTCTCTGAATTCCCTTCGGGGTGAAAAGGGCAGCAGAGGAGGACGCCCAGAGGAGGGCGACTAAAATGATCAAGGGTCTGGAGAACAAGCCCTATGAGGAGCGGCTTAAGGAGCTGGGCATGTTTAGCCTGAAGAAGAGAAGGATGAGAGGAGATATGATAGCCATGTATAAATATGTGAGAGGAAGCCACAGGGAGGAGGGAGCAAGCTTGTTTTCTGCTTCCCTGGAGATTAGGACGAGGAACAATGGCTTCAAACTACAAGAAAGGAGATTCCATCTGAACATGAGGAAGAACTTCCTGACTGTGAGAGCTGTTCAGCAGTGGAACTCTCTGCCCCGGAGTGTGGTGGAAGCTCCTTCTTTGGAAGCTTTTAAACAGAGGCTGGATGGGCATCTGTCGGGGGTGCTTTGAATGCAATATTCCTACTTCTTGGCAGAATGTGGTTGGACTGGATGGCCCATGAGGTCTCTTCCAACTCTGATTCTATATAAATGTTGTAAATAATAAATAAATAAATATTTGTATATTTTAAATTATTGGGAGCCACTTTGCATCTCCATGTTAGATCTAACAACAGAATAGAAATAATAATATAATAATAGTTTTCGTTTGATGAATGTTTATGCTAAAAAAATAAATTACTATTGTTTTTATCTAGTCCAACCCCTATCCATGCAGGAAAAGCACAATCAAAGCACCCTGAACAGATGGCCACCCAGCCTCTGTTTAAAAGACTCCAAGGAAGGAGTCTTTTAAACAGGCCTCGAGGCAGAGAGTTCCACTGCTGAACAGTAATACAGTTTTTCCTAATGTTCAAGTAGAATCTCCTTTCCTGTCATTTGAACCCATTGCTCCAAGTCTTAGTTCCCAGGGCAGCATAAAACAAGCCTGCCCCCTCTTCCTTATGACAGCCTTTCAAATATTTATACTCTCGTATCTCCTCTCAACCTTCTCATCTGGAGGCTAAACAGACCTAGCCCTTTAAGATGCTCCTCAAAGAGATAAAGGGTCTCCAGATCTTTGAGCATTTTAGTCACCTTCCTCTGGACATATTCCACTTGTTAATATCTCTCTTAAATTGTGTTGCCTGGGATTGAACAGAGTGTTATTCCAGATGAAGTCTGAGCAAAGCAGACAAGATGAGCACCATGACTTCCTTTCATCTAAATGCTATACTCCTTTTTGCAAGATTTTTCATATCACAGAACGAGAGAGAAAGAAGCAGCAGTGGAAAAACACAAAAGCACTGGACTTGCACAGCTATGGAACTCTGCTGTAGCATTTCAGTCAACAAGGCAGTCCAATTAAAACCTTGTCTAGAAGTGGACACCCCGTTGATCCACCTGCAGCCGGCAGAGGAGGCCGTCAGCAGGGAGCCACGAACAGCCTGCTTCACAAAGGGACAGGCAATGACCTTTTTGGCACACAATGGTATCATTGGTGCCTGAGGAGCTGAGTCATTCAGGACTCACCAGCAGCAGTCATTTTTCCCTCAATTTTTCGGATCTGAGATGTTTCCTCCCATCTTGCCAGTCATATTCAAACCTGGATTGCTGCGAGTTTTCTGGAGTGTATGGTCATGTTTCAGAAGCATTTTTTCCTGACGTTTCGCCCATATCTATGACAGGCATTCTCAGAGGTTGTGAGGTTTGTTGGAAACTAGGAAAATTGGGTTTACATATCTGTGGAATAATGTCCAGGGTGGGAGGGTGAACAGGTGGGAGAAAGAACTCTTGTCTGTTGGAGGCAAGTGTGAATGCTGCAATTGGCCGGTTTGGTTAGCATTGAATAGCCTTGCAGTTTCAAAGCCTGGCTGCTACTTGCCTGGGGGAATCCTCTGATGTAGGTGTTTCCAGACATGAAACAATCAGGGCCAGCTAATACTTCCCAATAAAGAATTGCCCCAGGCAGGAAGCAGCCAGGCTTTGAAGCTGCACAGCTATTCAATGCTAATCAAGGCAGCCAATTGCAACATTCACACATGCCTCAAACAGATAAGAGTTCTTTCTCCCACCCTGAACATAATTCCACAGATTTATGTTCTTGCCTAGTTTCCAACAGAACTCACAACCCCTGAGGATGCCTGACATAGATGTGGGTGAAACATCCGGAGATGATGATGATGATGATGATGATGATGATAATAATAATCTTTATCTATATCCCGCCACCAGCTCCCCAGAGGGGACTCAGGGCAGCTAACATGAGGCCAAGCCCAAATACAACACAACAAAATAAAATACAGAATGCTGAAAACAAAAAATTACATCAAAATAAAATAATGTACAGTAGCAAAATAGGATAAATAAGACAAATTAACACAATATAAAATTGAACAGAATGGGCAGGCCAAATGGACGAGGTAAAATGATAAAATCCTGGATGAGGTAGGAAAGAAAATATGTAATTAAGGGGAACCCAAAAAGGCTAAACAGTGGGGTAGGCATTCAATTTAGGACTGGGGAAAGTGCATCATAGGGGCAACACTATGGAGTGCTTCAAGAATATGGCCATACATCCTGGAAAACTCACAGCAACCCAGTTATTCTGGCCATGCAAGCCGTTGACAACACATATTCAAGCCACTGTATTTTCACTTTCCCATCTCTTAACCTCTCAGTATCTCAGGGGTTGGACTAGATCAGGGATGGGCAACCTTTTGAGTTTACTGTGTCAAAATTTGCCAAAAACCTGAGCATAACTTGGGAGGGGTGTCAACTTTGAGGAAAAAAAACATAATGTATATTCCATGCTGAGTTATGGAGTGAACAATGCTCAAACGTGCAGATGTTAAATTTGTATAGCCTTTTACAAATTTAAGGATGTAATTAGATTGGCTCTTATAAGGTGTACTTCTCTGTATGCGGCCGCATGTGGCCGCGTGTCATCAAAAATAGCTATGCGTGTCAGTGCTGACACGCGTGTCATAGGTTCACCATCACGGGACTAGATGGTCCATGTGGTCTCTTTCAACACTATCATTCTATGATTTTATTATTCTCTGGGAGGGAAAATAAAAAATATTGGGGTACCCTGCCTCTGGTCCTGAGCAGCCCTCCAATAGAAACAGACTGTTCTATGCCAACTAGGCAGTTCCTAAAGAGGATTCACGTGATGAGCAATGTGGGAACCACGTTCATACTGCAGTTCCCATTATACTCCATCAGTATCCATAGAAAACTGTGTATAGAAGGGGTTCCCCTATATCACCTTTAAAGCAAACACAGCAAAACATTTTATGCAATCCGAAAGAACAGAACAAACACCTTGGCGAAAGCTTGTGTGTACCATGGCCCATTTAATCAGATCCGTATCACGAACTACCGTTGTGAAGAGCACTTTGTCAATCTAAAGCATTACACAGCTCAGTTATAAATCATTCTTTTGCAATACCTGCGTGAACTTACTCACACACAAATGCCTCTTAAGTGGGGACACTCCACACGTTAAAATAAATGAGATGAGAACCGGAGGTTTGCAAGGTGCAACAAAACATAACCCTTCCACGCACAAAAATTGACAGTGCAAGTTTGGGATGGTGGTATCAGACTGACATTTATAATTTTCTTCTTGGTGCAATTGACTAACCTGAGATAAGAATGAATTCTCCTTTAAATTTAAAGCATTCTAATTCTCAGGGATGTTTCAGGTTCTTGCACTTGCAGAGGGTTGGTCTAGATGGCCATTGGGAGCCCCATGATTCTATGGAATCGCCCAGAAACTGACCAGTAACCCCCGGTCCATGTTTTATCTACTTTTGTGGCTCGTCCACAAACCCATGTGCTAGCATTCAAAGAGGTGAAAACACACAAGACATATATTTGCTTTTCCAGGCTCATCAAATCCATTTGTCTTCCTCAATAGTCAAAGGCACCTTCTACACTGCTATATAAAATCCAGATTGTCTGCTTTGAACTGGATTATATGGCAGTGTAGATTCATATAATCCAGTTCAAAGCAGATAATATGGAGTATCTGCTTTGATAATCTTGATTATATGGCAATATAGAAGGGGCCTAGCTCTTCCGCTTTGATTCTACATTTCTCTATGTGGCAAAGTGATATATCAACGAGTTTCGATAATGCATTGCACGTCCCCATTCCCCTTTTGCAGGCCCAGTGAAACAACCGGGCTTGACTCCACGTAGTATTCCACACTATGGTGAATCCAAATGGGGAGAAACGAAACTCTTAATAGGCAGACTGGAGATGTGTGGAGGTATTGCTCCGTCCAAGCCAGTTGTGGCCCTTATGCATTTTATTATTCACTTGACATTAACTTAGTTGGAGACAGGCAGTCTCCGGTTCCAGTTTGTTGAGGCACGGGGCAGGTAGGAACGAGGCAGGGCGGGATGGCCAGCGCAGCAGTTCAGCAAGGGCAGGTGTTTTTGCTGCCGGCCTCGGGCGTGAGCTGTGCCTTCTGCCCCCTCCCCGGCTGCCTCTCCATGTCCCGATACAGCAGAGACTTCTGAGCCTTGAGCCGGCAAGCGAGGCACATGAAGATCGACTCCACGTTCTGGCTCTCCTTGGGGTCCTTGGCGGAGGTTTCAAACAAAAGCATGTTGTGAGCATCCGCGAATTTCAGGGCCAGGCTGGAAGGCACCTGGATCTGGTCCCGCAAGTCACACTTGTTGCCCACGAGCACCTTCGGGACGAGGGCCGGGACGGCGTGGCCGTTGCACTCCTCAATCCAAGTCTTCAGGTTGAGGAAGGATGCCATCTTGGTGACGTCGTAGACAAAGACCACGGCATGCACGTTGCGGTAGTAGTGCTCCACCATGCTCTTCCGGAAACGCTCCTGCCCTGCGGTGTCCCAGACTTGCACCTGCAATACAAGAGCAAAGGTAAAGTCTAGTTACAACAGACTAGTGACATTGAGCAAAACAACAGAAGGGAAACAATCAGGGACATTTAATCACCCCTCAACAAAAGATTGCCCCAGGCACTGCCAGGCCATCAAATGCTAATCAAGGTGGTCAGTTGAAACATTCACACCTAGTTCCAGCAGACAAGAGTTCTTTGTCCCACCCTGGTCATTCCACAGATATATGTTTTAGTTTTATGGGTATTGTTTATATGCTTTCCCCATTATCATATCATTTATTTTATTGTAATTTTGTATTTTCTGTATTGTATTTGTTGTTCGGGCTTGGCCTCATGTAAGCTGCTCCGAGTCCCCATTGGGGAGCTGGTGGTGGGGTATAAATAAAGATTATTATTATTATTATTATTATTATTATTATTATTATTATTATATATAAACCCATTTTTCTAGTTCCAACAGACCTCACTACCTCTGAGGATGCTTGCCATAGATGCAGGCGAAACGTCAGGAGAGAATGCCTCTAGAACAGTGGTTCTCAACCTGGGGTCCCCAGATGTTTTTGGCCTTCAACTCCCAGAAATCCTAACAGCTGGTAAACTGACTTGGATTTCTGGGAGTTGTAGGCCAAAAACATTTGGGGACCACAGGTTGAGAACCACTGCTCTAGAACATGGCCATATAGCCCGAAAAAACCAACAACAACCCAGTGATTCCGGACATGAAAGCCTTCGACAATACATTAAGTCTAGTTGTTTCCGACTCTAGTACGTGGTGCTGAGCCAGCATTGTCCATAGACACTTCCAAGGTCATGTGGCCAGCATGACTGCATGGAGTGCCGTTACCTTCCTGCCAGAGTGGTACCTATTGATATACTCACATTTGTATGTTTTCGAACTAGGTTGGTAGAAGATGGGACTAACATTGGGACTTCACCCACTCCCTATATTCAAACTGGCGACCTCTCAGGCAGCAAGTTCAGCAGCTCAGCGGTTTAACTCGCTGCGCCACTAGCAATACAAGAGGTGAGCATCCAAATCAGAGAGACATTGATGGAACCTGAGATGTCTCTACAAAGTTCCTCTAGATGGATCACTTCTGCAACAGGGTTTCATAGTTATTGTTTTACCCCAGGCATGGGCCAACTTTGGCCTTCCCTCCAGGTGTTTTGGACTTAACAGCCTGAATTGTGAGAGTTGAAGTCCAATACACCTGGACGGCCAAAGTCAGCCCATGCCTGGTTTGCACCTCAAGGTTTTCTCTTCCGTTGCTGAACACATTGGTGTCCTAACCTTACAAATTACAAAGACTGTACTTTTTTGCTACTGTGCATTCCATTTGCCAACGTATACTTTTTTGAGCTTCAGGGTTTTGAAAATTGAGGTGTGCATTAGATTCGATGGCGCATTACATGTGAGTAAATATGGATATGCTGTGAACTTTCCAGGCTGTATGGCCATGTTCCAGAAGCATTCTCTCCTGACATTTTGCCCACATCTATGGCATGCATCCTCAGAGGTTGTGAGGTCCATTGGAAACTAGGCAAGTGAGGTTTATACACCTGTGGAATGTCCAGGGTGGGAGAAAGAACTCTTGTCTGGGTTGCTGTGAGTTTTCTGGGCTGTATAGCCATGTTCCAGAAGCATTCTCTCCTGACATTTTGCCCACATCTATGGCATGCATCCTCAGAGGTTGTGAGGTCCATTGGAAACTAGGCAAGTGAGGTTTATACACCTGTGGAATGTCCAGGGTGGGAGAAAGAACTCTTGTCTGGGTTGCTGTGAGTTTTCTGGGCTGTATAGCCATGTTCCAGAAGCATTCTCTCCTGACATTTTGCCCACATCTATGGCAGGCATCCTCAGAGGTTGTGAGGTCCATTGGAAACTAGGCAAGTGAGGTTTATATATCTGTGGAATGTCCAGGGTGGGAGAAAGAACTCTTGTCTGGGTTGCTGTGAGTTTTCTGGGCTGTATAGCCATGTTGCAGAAGCATTCCCTCCAATGCATTTCACAGTTTTGTAAACATATAAACACATCTTATTAGTATATGAGACGATTTCTTAACCGATGTCCTTCTCGGTAAGTAAACATTGGTTGGTATTCCCTTAATCTAACTAACCCATCCTCTAGTTTGGAATCTTTTGTTCATGCTGGACTTTGCACTCTTAGCCAAAAAGCTTCCAAGGCCACAGAGCTGTCTTCTGAAGGTAGAGACGTGCAAGTCCACACAAGCAAACAAGGAAGAGCAGATAAGGAGTAGAATGCTTTCCCCACTTTATATCATCAGAGGCACTTTTGAGGTTTTTTTTCCCATCAGTGGATTTTAACTCTATCTTGTTGTATGTCTTTTAATAGTGTTTTATTTTTCGTTTTCATGATTTTGGATCCCACCTTGAGTCAGGATACAAAATCATCAACATCATCCCCAATCTATCACATATGACGCAGCCCAAAAGAGGCCAAGATATACATTATTTCCTTATAAAAACCATATTCCTTTGAGATGCAGAAGGAAACACGTTGAAGAGACCGTGAGAACCATAGGCAAATCCTGGGGAAACTTCACTAAGAAAGAAAACAAAGTATTTGGTTCTGTATTGGAACCCCAGGTCTCGACGGTGACCAGGGGAGCATTTGCACAGTTAAAACTTGTGCGCCAGCAGCGCCCGTACCTTGGGAAGTCTGATTGGCGATGATGATCCATGCTCTGGTTACATCCTGTATAGACTACTGCAACGCTCTCTACATGGGATTGCCTTTGAAGACTGTTTGGAAGCTTCAACTGGTCCAACGGACGGCAGCCAACTTACTAATGGAAGCGGCGCTCAGGGAGCATACAACTCCTCTCCACTGCCTGTCAGTTTGCTTCCTGTATAGACTACTGCAACGTTATCTACGTGGGGTTGCCTTTGAAGACTGTTCGGAAGCTTAAAGTGGTCCAATGGACAGCAGCCAGGTTACTAACGGGAGCGGCGCTCAGGGAGCATACAACTCCTCTCCACTGGCTGTCAGTTTGCTTCCTGTATAGACTACTGCAACGCTATCTACGTGGGATTGCCTTTGAAGACTGTTCGGAAGCTTAAACTGGTCCAACGGACGGCAGCCAACTTACTAATGGAAGCGGCGCTCAGGGAGCATACAACTCCTCTCCACTGCCTGTCAGTTTGCTTCCTGTATAGACTACTGCAACGTTATCTACGTGGGGTTGCCTTTGAAGACTGTTCGGAAGCTTAAAGTGGTCCAATGGACAGCAGCCAGGTTACTAACGGGAGCGGCGCTCAGGGAGCATACAACTCCTCTCCACTGGCTGTCAGTTTGCTTCCTGTATAGACTACTGCAACGCTATCTACGTGGGATTGCCTTTGAAGACTGTTCGGAAGCTTAAACTGGTCCAACGGACGGCAGCCAACTTACTAATGGAAGCGGCGCTCAGGGAGCATACAACTCCTCTCCACTGCCTGTCAGTTTGCTTCCTGTATAGACTACTGCAACGTTATCTACGTGGGGTTGCCTTTGAAGACTGTTCGGAAGCTTAAAGTGGTCCAATGGACAGCAGCCAGGTTACTAACGGGAGCGGCGCTCAGGGAGCATACAACTCCTCTCCACTGGCTGTCAGTTTGCTTCCTGTATAGACTACTGCAACGCTATCTACGTGGGATTGCCTTTGAAGACTGTTCGGAAGCTTAAACTGGTCCAACGGACGGCAGCCAACTTACTAATGGAAGCGGCGCTCAGGGAGCATACAACTCCTCTCCACTGCCTGTCAGTTTGCTTCCTGTATAGACTACTGCAACGTTATCTACGTGGGGTTGCCTTTGAAGACTGTTCGGAAGCTTAAAGTGGTCCAATGGACAGCAGCCAGGTTACTAACGGGAGCGGCGCTCAGGGAGCATACAACTCCTCTCCACTGGCTGTCAGTTTGCTTCCTGTATAGACTACTGCAACGCTATCTACGTGGGATTGCCTTTGAAGACTGTTCGGAAGCTTAAACTGGTCCAACGGTGGACAGCAGCCAGGTTACTAACGGGAGCGGCGCTCAGGGAGCATACAACTCCTCTCCACTGGCTGTCAGTTTGCTTCCTGTATAGACTACTGCAACGCTATCTACGTGGGATTGCCTTTGAAGACTGTTCGGAAGCTTAAACTGGTCCAACGGACGGCAGCCAAGTTACTAACGGGAGCGGCGCTCAGGGAGCATACAACTCCTCTCCACTGGCTGTCAGTTTGCTTCCTGTATAGACTACTGCAACACTATCTACGTGGGATTGCCATTGAAGACTGTTCAGAAGCTTCAACTGGTCCAATGGACGTCAGCCAAGTTACTAATGGAAGCAGCACTCAGGGAGCATACAACTCCTCTCCACTGGCTGTCAGTTTGCTACCGGGCACAATTCAAAGCGCTGGCTTTAACCTATAAAGCCCTAAACCAGTGGTTCTCAACCTGGGGGTCGGGACCCCTGCAGGGGTCACCAGGGAGTGTCAGAGGGGTCACCAGAGACCATCAGAAAACACAATTGTTGGTGGGGTTCAGAATGCTCTTTGATTGTAGGTGAACTATAAATCCCAGCACCTACAACTCCCAAATGTCAAGATCTATTTTTCCCAAACTCCACCAGTGTTCCCATTTGGGCATATTGAGTATTTATACCAAATTTGGTCCAGATCCATCATTGTTTGAGTCCACAGTGCTGAACTACAACTCCAAAACTCAAGGACACTGCCCACCAAACGCTTCCAGTATTTTCTGCTGGCTTCTTTATGTGCCAAGTTTGGTTCAATTCCATTGTTGGCAGAGTTCAGAATGCTCTTTGATTGTAAATGAGCTATAAATCCCAGCAACTTGTCTGGGTTGCCGATTTTGTCCCAAATGACAAAATCATTCCCCCCCCCCCCACACCACTACCACCACTACCACTATTCAAATTTGAGCATATCATGTATTTGTGCCAAATTTGGTCCAGTGAATGAAAATACATCCTGCTTATCAGATAATTAAGTTACAG